TTTTGTTAGATTTTTAAACAACAAACTTATCACCTTACTGTAAGTATGAATGAAGAAATAATGGTTATTTGTGTGAAAAAAGGGTAAAAGTACCCCGATTAAATTTAGATTAACTGCTCAAAATGTCCACCAGGCAGAAGTAAAGTCTAGACTCAAATGCCTGCCTCACAATTGCCAATATTTCTGGTGTGACTAGCTTGCATGCTTGTTCAATCCGCGCATTTAATTAATTGAGATTAGCGGGTTTTGTGTCATAAATTTTGCTTTTAACAAAGTCCCAAAAGAAATATCAAGAGGGGTAAGGTCTGGTGATCGAGCCAGGCATTCTACAAAAACTCGCCGACCTATCCACCTTTCGGTAAACTCCTTGTCTAAAAACTCTCTTACTCTTACATTAAAATGAGGTGGTGCACGATCCTGTTGAAAAAAAGGTTGGTAATCACCAACAGAGCTATGTCATTTATAGAAGGGATAATGTCATTTCGTAATAATTGTAAGTAATTGTCTCCATTTAAATTGCCATCAATAAATAGGTCTACAAAAGATTCCCCTAAAATCCCCGCCCATACATTATTTCTTGCTGGCCGTTACGTGTGGGATTCAATCGTTGGATTCAACCATCCAGTGTGAATTTACAGGTCGCCAGTAAATAACAGCAGTTGTGACGATTAACCGTCCCATGTAACGAAAATGAAGCTTCGACACTAAAGCATAGCAAAGAAATTAAATTAACATTTTCCCAATTTTTTTTCCAACATGGTCTGGCAAAATTGAATTCTACGGTCAGGATCGTCCTTATTTTGATCCTGGTGAAGTTGAACTTTATATGGATTATATTTTATGTTGTTTTAATATGTGATGAATAGAATCTTTTGAAATTCCTAATAATTCATGTGCAGTTGAACGAAGAGACTGATGTGGGTATACTGCAAAATTGGTTAAAACGCCAACTTGTGTAGCATCTGTCCTGACGAGTGGGCGGCCCGATCTTGGAGCATCTTTGAGTGTGGTTGAAATTTATTTTCTATATAGCATAAAAATGCAATTTATATTACATTTTAAAGGCCATTAGATTAAAAGAATATCTGCAAAAAGTAGAGGTCTCTATCACAACCAATTACAGAATGGCGGCCATTTTTATTTTTCACTAGCTGGAGAGACCCCTTGTAAAGATATATGTCAATATCGTCAATGGAGTAAAAAATGAAAGATGTTCAAATATTCCTTAAATTTGAAATGATTATCATACTGTTTGGCGCCCGCTAGAAGTCGTAATAAAATCATAAACGTAAGCATAGGTTGATATGCACATTACATTTATTAGTAGAATCGAATTATACAAATTTGAGATCAAAATAACAGCTGGGTAAAAAATGGCAGCCGTTCAAAGATTCAAAATGGCAGATTCATGAAATATTTTGAACGGCTGCCATTTTTGACTCGGTTGTCCATTAGAGTTCGGGTTTGCGGCAATGTGTTTTACTAACTCTAAGACCTTTAATTTCATACCAAACTTGACCTATGCTGCTATTTGAGAATCTTGCCTTACTCCTCGTGGGCCCTCAAGAGGTAAAAAGGTAATAATAGCTTGAAATAGTAGACATTTATGGTTTTTATTGATATACTAAGTTCTATTACTTGATCTATAATGATAAAAAATATATTACACCGTTCCAGGACTTTTCAATCACACTGTATGCATAAACAAATTTGGACGAATAGTTTTTTTAGCCTCTGGGTACCATATACGGTAATAGCTACTATAGCCCTATAGGGAAATTCGCTAACAAAAACAAATAATTTGGTATATTGTTCTATCTTTGCATTTATAACAGTTAAAGAACAAATTAAATAAACTATAAATTCAAAATTACTATGTTAATTTTTTGGAGTAAATATGTGCGAACTGTTGCAGTTAACTTATTTTTTATAGATATATTTTGATCAAATTCAGTTAAATATTCATATTGGTTATTTTTTCATACCAAGCTATTAACATTTAAATAAAAACACACTTTATGACATTCTTTGCAACAGCAAAACTAAGTACTCGCTAAATCTGATGTTATTTAAATTGGCGAATAAATCTAACATGTTTAAGGGGATAAATAATTCAGTGGGGATCCGATAATTCAAATGGAAATTCGCTTAGTTATCAGGTTAGCTGTTGCAGGGTATTTTATCCAAGGGGTTATATCATTTTCCATGCTTGCACAAGGAGCATGTAAGCTATTGACTGAGGTGTTTTATGTTGCAATTGAAATAACAGAACAATAACCAACGAGAGTCAACAGTAAATTGGCCTTCCTCGTGAATATAATGGTAATCTACGAATAAGATATAAAGTATACGAGTTATTAATAATTGAATAAGATAAATATTGACAAATTTACTGCAGATACAAAAACGGCCCCAACGATATTGGTTAAAATTTAGTATATTATAGTACTTATATCTCTAAACAAAATGGCACAACCCAAAATGTTGTAGAATTTTGGTAATAGTTATTCCCGTGCTTACTTATTAGGCTAATTACTAACTGTTTTCCCCTTAATAAGGTAGGTACAGTATTATAATGTTCAATTTTAATGTCAGGCTAATGGGAGAAAGTATACGAGTTGTTTGCTGATACCATTTATTCCCTAAGTTTTATTACACACAAAAGTACTCACAGGAGGGGAGAAAGAGTAAAAACGTGTTACGGTATATTACTTTATGGATATAAAAGCTCTAATACAAAACACAGTACTGTAGCTCACTGTGGCGGAATAGAGGGCAAGACATTTTGAATGCCTCTTGTTAGTGTGTTTTATCTCCACTCTTGAATAACATTTTACAACTTTACAATTTGTTGCAGAATGTTTGTTTGTGTGTTGCGGGGGGCTGCCACCACTCTAGGGACTTTCCAATGCTGCCTGAATCTCCTCCAAAATGTCATCTTTGCTATACCGTACCTCTGAATAGTTGTGTGCGATGATGCATCGAAAATGCATGATTCAGCATGCATCGAAATACCGATGCATCGATTTGGTCCTGGTGCATAAAAAAACAATGCATCGATTACGTCCCTATGCATATATAAATCTAATTTAGGCCTATAATGAGTTTAAGACTATTTACGAATGTGTTTATTTATTTCACAATTAATTTATCTAGTAATGTTTTGTAACAATGAGTTCATTTTTAAGTTCTAATTAATAAATGTTATCTTTTTGGTAGGCCTACTCACTCATCTCTTTGAATTTTTTGTGTTTAACACAAACTTTAATTAGTTTCAGTCTATTTTTATTTTTAACTTCACATCTATCTGTTACATATCATGTAATAATGAACCCAAAGTATTGAAAGCCAACAAATATAAAAGTGGAAATCTAGTTAGGTACATAATTACAGTATGTCAATTATCAATCAATTATTTAAGACGGGGACGCCACTATGTGCGTATTTTAACACAAATATGAGTGTAGGATGAGTGGCACGATCTTTTAGGGGGCTAGCCTAGCTAAAACGCACGTTTATAGAAAACATTTTGCTGTGAATACACTTTTTGACCTAGGATTTTGAATTTTTCAGGGCATTTTAAGCACAAATCTGGGCATATTATCATGTAAAATATTTTGAAAAATGTTAAAGAGTTTGGGAGTTATGATAAAAAAATTAAATTTTATAATTTGTAAAAACCTAGGTAACCATTTTACACTTTGTGTTTTTTTGTATTTAATTTACACAAATGAATTTGGTATGGTTCTTTTCTTTATTCCTAGGGCTATAGCCTGAACTAAAAATATGTTAATATAATTGAAATTGGTTAATTGGCTTAAAATTGTAGATTATAAACAAATATTTTATTTAATTTTTTGTTAAATTTATATATTTTGTTACTTAAACCATACCTACTGCTATAATTCTAGTTCAGGTCATAGGCACTGATGGTATAAACATCCTGTAAAAATTTTGTGATGATATCTCAACTGGCTTAGAAGATATCATGTAAATAGTAAGAAAAAAAACACTAGTTTCGGAAAATTGACGGACACTCTCACAAGTCGCGGACAAGTATCGGATAACTAACAATGGAAAGGCATGTGCACTGATAAATGTTTTTGGTCATATCTCAACTAAAACAATAGATATCTTTATAATTCTGGTACCAAACTGATCAGAAAAAACTCACAAAAGAAAAAAAATATATTTTAAAAAAATTGATAAAATTTGAAATTTTTTGCTAGGCTAGCCCCCTTAAGTCTTGTTAGTGACTAAGGCATGTTCCTTAGACACAGCTATTAATTAAAAACCCATACAGCCGATGGCAACTTATAGGGACCTACAGTTTATAGTGGAATCCGAACCACATTTGTCCTTGTAATTAACAAATTGGAATTGGTCTAATCATCAGGATAGTACTGTGAATAGTACCTAGTATAGTCCTCACTAGTGGGGACATTAATCCACACCAGTATCAATAATAATAATAACGATTGCTTTGGTATAGGCTTATTGTAATTGTTAGTAAAGTCTGGATTTCCTTCATCAGGATGCCAGAAACTATCCTCTTGTTCAAAAAACATGTTATTTAGTAATTTTTCTTTTTACTTTAACCCTTTTTTAAAGGTAAATGATCCATTACAGAAACACAAGTAGTAATAATTTTGAAAGAAAACATGCCATGCTGCATCGAATTTCTTTGAATCGCATTGAATCAGGAAAAAATTATGTATCACACACCCTCTTCTGAACCCAATGTTAATATTAATAGATGCACCAATTGTTATAGAACACACTACTGTCCTGCTATTAGAATTGATGGAGTTTGATTCAGTATTATCATTGACTATTACACAGAATATAGCTTGTAACTCACTTTGTGTAAATAAATATCTTATAACCAGGAATTATACTTCCTACAGCTGAGATTAGTAAAATATATACCAAACTTTGTACAGTTGTTTTCTGTTTATAAAATGATCTGTTTACAAAACGATTACTATATTACCTTTTTAACCTAGCTAAGAAAGTTAAAAAGAATGGAAACTGACACAAATGGCAAATCAAATTACAGTATGTAATGAGGTCTATACACAGTTATGTAAAGTTGAGTTTAAATAGAAGATTCATGGTTATGTAACATAATTTACAAATACTGACCTTAAGCTTTGATTGTCAGTCACAATAAATGAATCGATTTGTGGATCTTATAGGATGGGGGAATGCACCAAAAGAAGAAACTTATCGATTCCCAGATTTCGGACCTGTGGACATTCCTAACTATAAAACATTTTTAGAGGAGTCAAGAGGGCAGTTTTTTGAGAAATGGGCGTCTTTGCAAGGAAAAGAAGAACCAGTTAAGCTAAAAAATAAACAGTGTTGGTTAAAAAGTTTTACAAGATTAAAATTGATTGGCTCAGGATCTTTTGGCCAAGTTTACCTTGTAAAAAATGAACAAACTGGCAATGTGCATGCCATGAAAGCTGTTCTAAAAAAGACAGTGGTTGAATTGAGACAGATAAACAATACAAGAACTGAGAAATTAGTGCTGGAATGCTCCGACTGCCCTTTCACTATGCGTCTGGACTATTTCTTTAAAGACTACAGCTATTTGTATTTTGTCCTACCTTTTATACAAGGTGGAGAGTTATTTCAACACCTTCAAAGTTTAGGCAAATTTGATGAATCATTAGTTATGTTTTACCTTTCTCAGGTAATCTTGGCACTGGAATATCTCCATTATTTGGACATCGTGTACAGAGACTTAAAGCCGGAAAATATTTTACTAGATCACACGGGGTACATAAAACTTACTGACTTTGGATTCTGCAAACATTTGAAGAATGGCAGGACGTACACATTTTGTGGAACAATTGATTATTTGGCCCCAGAAATAATATTGAATGAAGGTTACGGTAAAGCCGTGGATTGGTGGGCAGTAGGAGTTCTTGCGTTTGAGCTAACAACTGGGCAGGCCCCGTTTAAGGATAAATCAGAGGTAGCAAAGTTGAAAAAAATCGTCAATGGAAAATACACATTCCCTTCATTTATGAGTATAGATTTAAGGCACCTTATAACCCAAGCTTTGCAGAAAGACCTTACAAGACGGTATGGCAACTTGAAAGATGGAGTTGATGACTTTAAAAACCACAAATGGTTTAAACCTTTGAATTGGCAAGCAGTAGTTTGTAGAAAAGTTTTACCCTCATATGTACCAGATGTTGAGGGGCCGACTGACCTGAAGCATTGCAGAAAAATTAGTTACAAGTCACTGACTGTAGCTGACAGTCTTGAATATGCTCAAGAGTTTGCTGATTTTTAAGATCAGGTAGATGACCATGGGTTACAGTTTAAGAAGGAAATACAAGAACAAAAATAAATGTAGGTATATACCATGAATTGTTACAAATAAAAAATCCACTTAATTCTAAGCAGTACTACGCTAAAAGACAACAAAAGGAAATGCCTCTTGATATAGTGACACTTTGTTACAATGTATAATGTTCAACAACTTTAACTTGGTTGAAATGTATAAAAAGGGTAATTGACTATAGTTAATGGATCTTAGAAAGAACTTGATAAATATATAAATGTACACTGTATGTGAATTATTAATTTTTAATTAATCATAAGAAGTTCCAATTCACACACAGTAAATAATGTTCCTTTTAGAATGTAGAACCAACAATAAAGTTTCAGTGTTATTGGATGAACACAGCTTTTCTCTGGTAGTTAGCTTACACAGGCCCACCACTTAACTCTCTTTGATGCCCAAGGCCATGCATCCCCCAAGGAGGTAATTAGTCTGGAGGTTACATTAATTAATTACCATACATATGCCAGTAGGTTTGTTTACTCGATTCATTAATATGCTGTTTATGAGTAACAATGACAGCTTCCAATCTTCATAAAAAGCTTCATTATTAGGTGTAGGTTCTCTTTCTAAATGTAAACAAATTCAATTGGCGTAGAAAACACACACAAAATTAAAAAAGGTCCAACGTTAATTTATCAGGCGTTTTACTGTTAAACAATACAAATTTAAACAGAAATAGGAGACATAAGCTAGTCATGGTGAGTTTTAGCTTGTGCTTGTTTAATGCACAATAATCATAACTTGAACTTAATTTTAAAGTTTTTATGAAGGTTTGCTTTATAACCAATTTGAATTTACTTCTTAATTTAGGAAAATTAAATTTAGATTAATAGTTTTAATTTTACTGAGGTTGTAATTTTGTATAGGCTATGAGTATTTTGGCATTGTGATAAAAAGAATCCTCCATAACTTGTACCTAAAGTGATTTACTTGCTCCAGTTCTCCAGTTATTCCTGTCCTCAGTTTTGGACCATAGGTAAACACAGCTCTCAAATACATGGGTTTCCTGACATCGGCTTGGTCTGATAATATCATAATTGGTAGTACCAAATCAAACTTGAAAAGAACTTAATCAAAATCATCATTTAAACCTCCAATTCAAGAACCGGTTTGGGTCAAACAATTGAGACTAATGTACTGTATTTAAAAATAACCCAAAAATTAATTGTAATGATGTGAGAGTAAATCAAAACAGAGTTTAACTGACAGCATGACTGACTGAACAGCATGTTCACTGTTCGGAGACTTTGTTTAAAGCATTATCTCTTATATTAATACGTGAGGGCTGTTTTTTGTGAACAAAACTCCTCCGTTATTTCTGGACCGATTTTAACTTTAGAGGTGTCAAATAATTTGTCTCAATTCGTAATTTTGCATAAAGGTTAAAATTAAAAATCTCTTACCCTGAAGGGCACGGAACGCTCTCAAAGGTCGTATTTTCCCCATAAGAATTACATTAAAAAAAAAAACAGCTATATATAAAAATAAACTTACCTGCTTTTTGGGAGTAAATATTGATGTCTCGATGTCTGTTACATTTATAGGAGGTTATAAACAAATCTAAACAGTTAGGCCTAATCAGTTTTGTTGGAAGAACAGAACATTTCTTGAATTTAAAGGATAAATATTGAAAACAGGAGGAGACAATTAATAGGAAATCTTATACTTATGAGAAGAGTAGAGGAGAAGCCTGGTCTCACAGTAAGGAATCCAGGTACACAATCACTTGGGGAGATGAATAATTTTTTCATCACTCCTTAACGAAAGTAACTGTTTTCGATAACAGCTGACATCAATGAAAGTAGTCGTTTCCCAAGCTCTAATTTAGGGCGAGGGAAAATCGATCAGCTGATTTACCCTCGCTCTAAATTTACTTTCCCTCGCTCTCAATTAGTTCTCCATTTATTCACTACACGCGCTAGTGTTTTGTTACGGTTTAATTTAATGATTTTAATCAGCTGTGTGTATTTTTAAAAGTTGTGTTATTCTTTTATTTTGGTGTTTAAACAAATCTTATTGAGAAATATACGTAGGTTTCTTTTTAGAAGATTTTATTTTTTTTTGATGTTCAATCAAATTAATTGAGAAATAAAATAGTTTTAATATTACTGAGGTCTGCTATTCTGTGTTTGTGTATTTTTGCGTTGTGATGAAAAGTATCGTTCATAACTCGTACCGAAAGTTATTATCTGGCACTTGCTCCATTATTTCCATCCTCGGCTTCGCCTCGTACGTTAAAATAGCTCACATACTCGGCTTCGCCTCGCACGTGAAATTGGGGTTCCCTGTGTGAGGCGAAGCCTCACACAAAAACTTGAGCACGCAATGGAAAATGCCACTTTCGGTCCTAGTAATTAAATATACTATTGCCAGTTATATTAAGCAACTTATTTTGGTGGTAAAAAAAAACCATGAAGAATATACACATCATGTTGTCACAGTGGTAAAGTAAACCTACCTAAAGTTAGATCAAATAAATACACGCAAGAAATGTTTACTGGTAACAGCTTTAAGTCGGGAAACATTTGTAGAAAACACTAAAAAATAAGGCCGGGTCCAAAAAAATCTAAAATATTTTTACAAGAAGCGTTTATTTTTTCAAAGCGCTATTAAATAGCGTGAGTATTTTAATTAGTTACATAAGCATTTAGTCGGGTCTTTTAAACTCATAAAAAATTATGACTGTTATTACTGTAGTTTTAAAATAACTTCTGTATAATACCGGTACTTGACAACTGCTTGATTTCGAGCAACGGGTAGTCAGGTACACTAGTTTTATTAAAGTGCTGTCAATAAACACTCAATAGATCAAAACAAACATTGGGAACAAACAAGCAAACTCATAGTTTTTTGTATATGCATGAGCATATTTAATAAATTGTATAAAATACACATAAATAAATACAATATCAAATATATAACATTTCTTATACATATAAAACACCACACACGGTTCTTTTCAAGATATTACAAAAATACTGGTTTTAAAGGTGAATTCTGTACATATTTACACATTTAAAAGGACGTTAAACAAATTTGTTCTAGTTTATTTAGTAGGATTGACAGCACAAATTATACTCAATATAAAATATCTAGTACAAGTAAACAGAAAACAAAAAAATGCACGTAGTGCCTAAACATAAAGGCACTATGTTCAGTTCCTAATGTATTATTTATATTTGTTCCTGAATTGTAAATACAATCAATGATTAAGTAGTAAATTGACCTGAAGCACTTAAGTACCTATGCTTATAATTTGAATAATGTAGGCATTGGTTACCTAAATAAAACTTTGAGACTTATATAAATTTCTTTAAATAATGCTTTGTAATGTGAATTTAACTTGAATGTGATTACTATCCTTTAATGTATAATTATTAGTCTAACAATTTTAACCTCAAAAAACAAATTGTCAATTGATGTCATTGAAATGGATTAAAGCAAAAATTAGATATTAGGGTGTGACGTGTACAGCAGACACAGCATTTCCTAGAAAATATTACCTTAACTATTACTTCATTTATCACTTTCTTTAGAACAATTATTGTTGCAAAAGACTTTCATGAACTTGTTTGGCTAACCTTGTTTACGCAAGGCCAGTAGAGTAGGCAGGTTACTTGCCTCTAATGTATTTCAAGTTCCCTGAGGCAAGTAACCTGTGCGCCAACTGGCCCTCGGCTTTGGAAAATTAAATATATTTTTTTCTGAAAAATAAGTACTATTAATTTATTTCATGTCGTCTATTATGGTTGACATCCTGCATCTGAAAAATGCACAGATGAGAACTGATCAGTTATAGAATATAGAATCGGAATACCAAATGACAATGAAATGGTTAAATATGTGAAATATGAGATGAGATTTTTAAAGCGGATAAGTTACTTGTTTGTGAAAACCTTCAGTGATCAATAACTAAAGTGATCAATTTAATGAAAATGCTTACGGTGTTTTATCTTTGAAAGACACAGCCACAATATTAAAAACAAAATAAGGTTAGAGCTACACTTGAATGCAAACTAAATTTTGCTACCTACGAGAACTACAATGATGCACAGTGAAACTCTTGTATAATTTTACCTGAAGCACTAAAGTACCTATGTTTATATTTGGAATAATTTAGATATTACCTTAATAAAACTTTGAGATTTATTTTTAACTGTAAATATTGTATTTGTATCACTATAAATTACAAGCGTTTCAGACTTTCATTCTGCTTTTCTGTATTTCCGATATTTTCTTACTGCAGCCACAATTAGATTGCACATTTAAAAGATAATAGAGCAGACCCAAAGGTCAGGTGGTTAGGGCAGACTTTACTGCAGATGATGCTTTGACATTTCTAGTGCAGCTAAATCGTCAAAGATCATACTCTACATGATAAAAGCTAAATATGATCAAACACTGTTTGATGAAAAGATTTCAATTTCTTTGGTCAATACATTGTTTTTAGCTCTTCGACTATCAATTAGATCTTTAATATTCCTCTAAAACTAAAATAATTAGATTTATTTTTCTACTACCATAACAGACTAAAACAACAATAAGCACATAGAAGTAAGATACAGAGGATCCAAACTCTTGGGACAACCGTGTGCCTATAGGTGCTGGTATGATGGAACGGAAAAGTACTATTACAGATCAAGGAAGACCCCAGACTGGGATGACCCATAGCATATTTTGTTCAGCAGTTGTAGTGCAAAGGGTCTTCCTGCTGTGTGAACGCTGTAGTACGCAATGGCGAGGGAGGAAAGGACAGCGGAAGGGAACGACAAATAGAATTTGCTCTAGACGCCAGCGACTGGTGCTAGACACATCTTAAGTGTACCATTGAATGTATTCTCTGTTTCTTACTTCTCTGTGCAATAATTGAGTGATGTATTTTATGAAGCTTCCATATCGTAAAAGTATCTTTCTAGAACCTAGCCAGTCACATAAAAACTATTTATCATTAATTTATTTGATGCAAAATAATAGAGAGAGATCAAAATACTGGGTATGATCATTGACAAAAAGAATATTATAGACCGTCAGCTGTTCTGCGGTTATCATAGGTTCTGGCGCACACCGCTGGGAGCGCCATGTTGTTACGTCGTACACGCTACCAGTGGCGTAGCCAAGGGGGGGGGGTTTTTTGGGGGTCATAACCCCCCCCTTGACAAAAGGATTTTGCCCATAAAATACCCATAGAAACTCCTAATACTGTATAAATGGACATTATTGTGATGATTAATTTGTTTTCCACAATTAAATTAAAAGACACTTAAAGTAGTATTGCGCAATCATAATAAGTTGTCATTGACTCTTGGTTCAGTAATAAAAACTTTAATGTTTAAAATCATAGCTAACTCTACAAACAAATTTCCAAACACTGAAATTTAATAAATTTAATAAATTTAACTAAAATTTAACAAATACAACAATATCACAACAATAAGTCTTCTTGTGAAAGGGAACTTTATAAAGTGCCATTTAAATGTGTTTGTTTTATTTGTTACATCACAGAAAAGTTACATATAAATAAAAGTATGTGTACAGAAATGAATCACGTAAAGAACAGAAAAATAGATAGTCTAGTAAGCTAGTCATAGGCTTACTGTTGGCCATAGGCTACTGCTACGTGCTGTTTTAGGACAGAATAAGTGTGATCTGTGACATAGCGCACAGCAGACAGACAGGATGTGTAAGGAGCGGACGCCGACTATCAGTTCAAGCGCATAGCACTGACCTTGAAGCTATCAGCCGATTCTTAGTTTTGTCATGCTTCCGTTTTATTTTTGTCAAATAAACTGTGATGTTTCATAAATAATAATGTCAGAACCTACTGCATATAAATAATAATGGTAACAAACTAGTTAAATTAAATATACAATGCATTTCAACACATTAAACTAAAAGAACTGTGCAAATAAGGAATATCAAAAAACCAAAATAAATGTACTAGGGGTATACATAGCAAATCAACAACTGTGCTTACATTGTTAGATGACATCTTACACTTAGTTATTTTTTAAATGGCCCTAAACAAACATTATTATTTCTTTTCTACGGTTACGGCTGTGGCCCTCAAACCCCCCCCCCCCACCAGATCAGCTATGTGAAACCCCCCCCCCCCTTGACATAATCCTGGCTACGCTACTGCACGCTACGTAAGTACACGACGCTCCCAGCGGTGTGTGCCAGAACCTATAGTAACCATGGTAACCGCAGCACGGCTCACTGTCTATATTTACCTAATTATTTTTGTCTATGGTATGATATAAAGATTTATAAAAGGATTAAAGGAATACAATTCTCACAAAGTATTTAAAAGGAAATATGTCCCATAAGATTTACAAAAATAATTACAACTAAATAGAAGTTTGTTACAAATTATTTGGATTTAAAAAATTAATAAATTGTAAGTATAAAAAAATTGTACAAAATAATTGAATTACTGGTATTTAATACTTATTTTATATATTCAATTAATATTTTAGTCAGTCAATTAATAACACAAAACAAGAAAGCCAATTTTTAGTATTAAAAGCAAGTCAAATCATGAAATTGCAACTGCAGCATGATTTTCTAACAAATACAACAATATCACAACAATAAGTCTTCTTGTGAAAGGGAACTTTATAAAGTGCCATTTAAATGTGTTTGTTTTATTTGTTACATCACAGAAAAGTTACATATAATACCTTGTTCTATGTTCGAGTTTTTTTCCTACTCTCTACACAAATAAAAAATAGATTGGATATGACATAAATTAGGGAAATCCACACAAAGTGAGATTACAACAAGAACACTTGAATAGTACATGCAGAATTCATGCGTAGAACATTACAATCCAAAACAGTGTCAGGTAAGGTTAAGTGATTCAAATGTGAAGACGCAAGAGATCATTCTGTCTGTATGTTCAAAAACACACATATACTGAAAACCCAATTGATTACTTATTTTATTCTTTTTAATATTCAATAAAGAGTCAGCCCTTCCCTGTAAACGTACATAAGTGCCAGTTTAAAATAGAGTAATATGATGGCTGACTTGAAATTTACGACAATGAGATTGCTCTATGATTGGTCCCCATGGCGGGATTCCAAGTGAGACATTTTAAATAATATCAATGTCAAGACAAACATATGGTAGACACATTTTTTAATTGATCAGTACAAGTCCATATACCGTATTATAGCTTTGAGTCTTCAAATAACAAAATACCCTGCTAGTATAGACACAAGGATGAAAAAAGTGTAAATAAGGATGATAGGTCACCCTGAACAGTATTTGGAACATTGGAAGATTGAAAATAAAGATTTAAATCAGATTTTGATGCAGGATATGAATATTGAATAGTTGTAGTGTTGGCATGATAAAATAAAATCATCATACCAAGGCCCCACTAGAAAAACAGGCCATGCTGCAGGATCCATGACGTCACATTAGTGGATGGATTCATTGATAAATTCACTGCTATTTTGCAATATCCCATATGTTTTAGGTAAATAAACTGGTTGTTTGTCAGATTGTAAATGGTAAGATTTTAGTACAACTATACACCACTGTGACATAGTGTTGCGCTGCCCGTGCTGCAACATGGCCTGTTTTTCTAGTGGAGCCTTGATCATACTATACTAATATTATAAATGTGAAAGTTTGTGTGTATGTTTGTTTGTTTGAAGTTCAATCACGCACTAACTACTGGACAGATTGGGCTGGAATTTGGCATGATGATAGCTCACATTCCTGATTAACATATAGGCCTATTTTTGTCTCAAAAATCCTTCTGTAGTTACCCATGTTAAACTTATGAGTATTATATTATCACAAACTTGTAACTTTTTATTTTCATGAACAGAACTCTCTGAAAACCAAAACAAAACAAAAACATTGGCAGATGATTTTATAGTATATTTCGTACCTAGGGCCGAAAATGAGGTTTTGCCGGCTCGAGATAGTTTTTAAGTTCGAGACGAAGTCGAGAACTTAAATCGATCGAGAGCTGCAAAACCATTTCGGTCCGTGGTACGAACGCTATTTTTCACCACACTATACCCTATTACCACTATTTACCACAATTATAATGCACACTGATAGTCAACATAACTACAACTTTAAGGTTATGTGAAGAAATAATTTGAGGAATCAGCAAAAATAAAAATAAATAGTTGCTAGGCAACGGTGACAATAACAAAATTCTATTGTAATGCTATGGATTTTGATTGTGGTAAGCGGACAGCTGATTTTGCGGCCCCGGCCTGTAAAAACTTGCTCGGTCCCCAAATTACGATGACAGCTGGCATGGCCAGCAAAACGTAACTTTCAGCCACCAATTAACATATGTAATACAGCCAAAAACATCATAGTGTGGTGAAAAATAATTTAAATAACCAGCTAAGAAAAGACAAGTAAAGACAATTTGAAATAAAAACAATTAATTACTAACATAATATTTAAAAGGAATTAAAGAATTTAGTCAGTTGTTTTAACTATTTAAGTTGGTTCTATGATATGCAATAGCATTAAAAAGTTATAAGGTTTACCAATGGGGTGCAGCACTATTAATTTTTTTTTTCTTTTATGACAACAGCTAATATGAACCAATAAATGACAAAAGCCTGTGATATGCAATGAGAACTGTCAAAGTAGGATTGTTTACAGTTATGTTTATGTTTTTAATTTGATGAATAATTCGTGATATTGTGCGAATGTTTGATAATTTATTTTTGTTATGATTTAGGTGCAGGGGTAGAGCATTATAGCTATGGTAGATGTGTTATACTATAGCATACCGGTACCGTAAATTTAAAGAACCAAATTTTACCAAACTGTGTCCTCTCACCCACTGCAAATGCAAAGCTCGAGTATAACTGCATTTTATACTTATATGCCAACCCCGTACGAAGGACGGGTACTCTGCTAGTATTCTTAATATATCTGGAATATTATAAAAATTTTACCCCAAAACTAAGAATGAATTGTGGGGTTTGGTTTCATAATTATTTTTCCTTCTTCACCTTATCAATAAATAAAAATAAACAGAATATATCAAGGGAACATTTTACATATTGTGCTAAAAGATTGTGCCCAGCAGTTTCTTTACAAAAATATATGTGAAACAAGTAAATAATTACAAAATTGCTATTTAGAATGCATTGAATGTACTTTATGAATGATGAAGTTTCTCTAAATGTTATATAGATTATTGATTTGTTATTGAAAACTTTTGTAATTATATCCATTGACTTAAAATCAGTAAAATTAGTGTGCCAAAGTTTCCAGCTACTGTATTCATTGTAAAATCATACAAGCATAAATTTAACACTATGTATATACGAAAAATGACAGTTTGCTAAGACAAGACACAAATTGTTACATTATCATACTAATCCCTCATAGAAGACATGATTAACAGTTGATTATTGGCAGGACCAGAGATGGTGTTCGAGTTCACCATTGTTACATTCAGACAACTCATATACATAACTGGTGCACAAATACTTATACAAGTAAAGTTTTAAAACTTAACCCAGAAATTATATCAATGAGATTGTGAAGGAATAAAGCACTCAGATGGGGTTACATACATAAAATCGAGTATGATTGCAAACATGTTTCACAAACAACATGTTAATGATAAAATGTAAAATCATTTGCAAAATGTGACAAGCTACGCTTTAAAAACCAGTACAAAATTAATTTTTACTAAAATATTCATAATATTTTGCACACCTATCAAATGGTCTTCATTCCTTTGCCACAGGCAGCAAATGATAAACTGTCTTGAAGTTACCTGTCGGGGAACAAAGTTTCATATGACGGGGGAAGATCTTTGGCGGAGGTGTCAGGTGGGGGGGCACTTGGACTGGGGGCTCGGCGGTTCATAGGACTCAGCTCTACTGGGTTGGGCCGTCCCAACAGTGTGTTTGCTCCCCAGCAAAGCAGTTCAAAATAGCGACAGCACCAGATTAGAAGGAGAAACAGGAAAAACGAACAGAAAACCGACGTTACTGCGGTCAATGTCAGGTTTCGCAGCTCTGGAGGATTATGTTTTCCATCTGGAAGATGAAAACAACTATTAAGATTCTTCAAGAATACATGCTAACCATCCTAAAATCAAGTTGTTATATTATGTTAAGTACAAGGATCGTCCAGAAAGTAACAGATGTTTATATCGCTTTGTGGTCCAATGATTTAAACAAATGTTTTAATCAAATCTCACGATGCAGATCCAGTGCTAGGCCTAGTCTAGTGACTCAACCGACAAACAATGGACAAAATGTATTTAATTTTCTATTCACTTTGAATATATTACACACACTAAGTATATGAACATAATTAAATTATAAAGATACATGTAACACATATAATAGGTTTTTGTTTATAATAGCCTATACTATCATACTTGGGAATAACGAATAGAAATTCTAACGAATAGCAATATTCGTTAGTTGTTTGGCTAACTTCTATTTTATTCGTTAGTTTTTAAACTAACTAACTAATAACTTCTATCAGTTACTTTTTACGGGACTAGCTAATAACTTCTAATGGTGCTAAATATCATACTAAAAATTTATTTTTCTTTATTTTGGGAATTTAATACTAAAATATTTTTAGCCATCCGGGGTCCAGTCCCGATTGTCCCCTCCCCCCCTGTAGGCACGCCCCTGCGGGGGCTACTGTACTGCTTTATGACAACAGAGGAATGTCAATATTAATAATCAACTAGCATTGGTGTTGCAATAGTTGAAACAAATCACGTTAAAAACAATAAAAACATTAGATTTCAAAAGTAATATAATCATAGCCTACTTAAAGGTAATAAAAACACTCGCAAAAAGAATATAAATATAGTCATCAGTCCCCAGGTAATTAAATCAGTTGTGCCTGGTGATATGGCGAACAGCACACAGATGTGTTAAACGGAGAAGACGATTGTCTGTCAGCGCAATCGTTGACGTCACCTTTCCATTTTATTTTCATCAAAGGAAGTGAGATTTTTAAAACAATAATGTTCTGTATATTGAGGGAAACATGGTGACAATTTGTTAAGTAGAGGTTAAATTCACTATGTAGAGGTTCTGACAATGATAAATTCGTTATATTGAGGTGTCTTAATTTAGCTGAGATCGTCAAAAATTCGTTAAATCAAGGTTGTTGATAGAGTTTGTTCGATATGTAGAGGTAAAACATTGTGTCTTATGCAGTATTCTAGGGGGAAAAAATCATTATATCAAGGAATTTGTCATATCGGGATCACATCATTTGTCCGAGTTTGTTAAAAACTACAAAATATTAGAAAAATCTGTTGTGGGAGGTTTGATAAATAACTAATAATATTTAAGTAAACCAAACTGTCTGAGTATCAATCTGTCCGCCTTCTTACCGTTACTAACCTTTCGTTACGTCTTACCTTTGGTAAGAAATGGGGACTTAGCTTTAATCTAATATATTGGATTTATGAGACCATAGTCAAGCCAATGGTTAGATACACAGCCTTAGTGTGGTGGCCATGAAGGCTGAGCAGATGCTGGCTGGCAGGAAGCTGCAACAGCTGCAAAGGCTAGCGTGTACAGGGATCTGTGGGTGTGCTGGACGAAGCTGTGTGTAATAGCTGCATAACTTTTGTAACTCATATACGATGATATTGACAAAATCTTTGATTGTTTTTTTTTCAGTCTTGGAAAAAGCTTATGATACTCTCCATCACTATCCCTTGTGGAATTGATACTGTGAACACTAAATCATCTCTTACTCCTTAAAACTGATCATCCTCTTCCGCAGCTAGTGCCAATGGTATAATAGCAATTTTTTCATCACTGCTGCTGGAACTCATAATTGCACCCCAACTACCCCACCTGGTGTAGGACACCCCAATTAGCCTGCCCCCCTGACAAGGTCCTAGAACCGCCACTGCTATCCGGGAAACAATCTTGGGTTATCTTAGATTTTACGCTTTCATACTGCTCAGTTTTTAATCAAACCTGAGCCTACAAGCCAGTGAAAATAGATCAGCTGTTGCAATTTTTAGTGTTTATGATCTCACCTGTTGATTGGACACTGTTTGTCTATTGTGACGGTATAAACACATCTCGCCTTACAGTCAGGAACCGTGTAAGGTGAAAGGAACATAGACACAGCGTTTTAAATTGGACGGCGGAAACCATGTATTGTACGGCGCGTAATAAGTAAGCATTCACCCACCTGATGTGCTATTTGAACAGCCCTCTTCATCAGGACAGTTTAAGTAAGGACAATTGACCCATCCATCTTTGAAATTCTGTTTTTTAATACATTTGTCCATACCACAGTCCCTGTACTCACTCCATGTGTTCTTGCAAGCTGCAAAACAAAACAGTAATTACACTTATAAGCAAAAATGTTATTTTGTTGTCAGACCTAATGTTGTTATAATACATCTACAACTATTGTAAACGTAATGTTCTTATAGTACATTTAAAATATATTAAAATATAAAGAATATCTCGATGCAGCAAACCTGGAGACTAAGCAAATTTCCATTTGCCTGAATGAATTTCACGAATATATTTACTTTAAAACGTCAGATTTGTTCCCTCTTAAGATGACATTAGGTTTAATAAGTACTAAGGTTTGCTACTACAGAAGAGGTAATAAAGTGTGTTTTTTAGTAAAACATTAAGACTAAGAGTCTTCATCACCTCTCTTACAAAAACGCAAAACATACACAACACTTCTGACAATACTTGTAAAGACTGAATTTGCTGCTGCTTGAATGCTATAGGCCTAACCCTCAAATGTATTAACTTTAATTCTAAGTAATTGTTTTAAGTCAAAACTTTAAAAAAATTCCATGTTTACAAAGTTATACAAACAATTTAGATATTGTTTAAAACCTTTTAAGGTCATAGCTAGTTTCACTAAAATGATGAAAAAATTAATTTTAAAAAACCAATTGAATTAATCTTTTTGGAGTTTTAATTTTAAATGTGTTTATGGTGTATGAACTGTGGTGACAAGGATTATGTTCTCCTTATTTCAAAAAGGTGAGTGAAACCCAAAAATCTAACTGGATTTATGACCTCACCTAAAATCCTTGCCGTTTAAAAATAAAAAAGATTCGATCAATAACGTCGGCAGAAACAGCTTAATTCTCAACTATGTTTCGGCTTAAAAGTGCAGGGGCCGAATTAAGCATAACATCCGGCCGTTAGGACTTGACTTTGTCACACACACTAGCATATAACTTTTTCGCTACACTAGTCAAGTCAAGTCAAGTCAAATAAATCTTTATTCAGACATACAACAATGTGTACATGAATGCGTCTTAATCTTAAACTATAACTAATACTAAAACCATTTTCCTGATCCATTTTATTTTATTTTTTTTTTTTTTACATATTTACATGTTTATTTACATATTTGAACATAGTGCAGTAAATTCTTCAAAATTATAAAACTCTCCATTAATTAGAAAATTCTTAAGCTTTTTTTTGAACTTATTTCTGTTTTCCTCATTTCTGATGCTACAAGGGAGAGAATGAAAAAATTTAACCCCAATATATTCAGGACTTTCTTTAAATTTTTCTTTTTTATGCTTTTTAATTATAAAATTTTGTTTGTGCCTAGTATTGTAAGTATGTACATCCTGCTGTCTTTGCAGTTGTGACTCCCGGCTTTTAACATATAATATAGTCTTATATATGTAGAGGCTGTAAACTGTAAAGAATTCTAATTCTTTGAAACAATTTTTACATGATTCATTTTCATTTAAATTAAGGATGCACCTTATGGCCTCTTTTTGTAAATGTAAAATTTCATTTAAGTTAGATTTATTTGTTCCACCATATATTTCAATGCCATAAGCAATATGGGAGTGTATATTTGAATAATAAACCACACGCAAAATTTCTTTACTGCAAAGGGGAAATAGTCGTCTTAAAGTAAAAATACCGGAGCTAATTTTATTACATATTTTATCGACATGTGAGGTCCACTTTAGTGTACTGTCCAAGGTTAGACCTAAAAATTTGGTTTCACATGCAAAATTTTCAAATATCTTTTCGCCAGACTTTTTACACTCAAATTTGATGAAGGTTGTTTTGTTTTTATTAAGTAAAAGGTTTTTTTTCATTTAAATAATCTCCAATTATTTTGAGCGAATCTTTCATTTTTATTTCAAGAAGTTCAATATTCTTTTCATGCATAGCCATACTTATGTCATCTGCATACAAGCAGAGGGCATTGTTTTCTACCCGTTCAGATAAATGTTCTGGCAGCCCTCCCAAGTAGCACAGGAACAGGAACGGACCCAACACAGATCCCTGAGGAACAGAATACTTAACCTCTCTAACATTAGATCTAACATTGTACATCTTATTTCCATCTAAATACCCAATGTTAACAAACTGTTGGCGGCCCTCTAAATAAGATTTTATCCAGTTCAGTTCTTTACCACTAATTCCATATGCTCTGAGTTTTTGCAGTAACTTTAAATGATTCACGCTATCAAAAGCCTTAGACATGTCTAAAAAGGCGCCAACAACATAATTGTCCTCATCCAACTTATGTAATACATTTTCAATATAAGAAATTAGAGCTGTAGTAGTAGATTTATTTTTTCTATATCCATGCTGTTCTTGATCTAATAAGTGGTTGTTTTCAAAATAATCTACTAGTTGAAAAAGTAAACTTTTTTCAAATAGCTTTGATAGAGCAGGTTGAATTGCCAATGGTCTATAGTTTTGCGGATCTTTTTTATCACCTTTTTTATATACTGGAATTATTTTTGATATTTTTAGTTGAGCGGGGAAAGCACCTGTTATTAGTGATGTATTAATCACATGTAAAAGTGGCTTTAACAAAACAGATTTTGATTCTTTAATAATTTTGATTGGAATTTCATCATAACCGGATGACCATTTAGGTTTTATTGAATCAATTATGGATGTCAAAATTGATTCATCGATGGTTTGACACCTAAATTTTATGTTTAAAATACTTTTATCAGAATTTTGTTGGGTTTTCTTTAATTTTGGTAAAACATTTTTGTCAACCATCTCAGCAAAATAATCATTTAGGATGTTTGCGACAGCATATGGTTCTTCTATTTTTTTGTCGTTATGTTTGAGTGAAATATTACTATGACATCTTTCTTTTTTACTTTTTGTTTCAGAGTTCACAATTTTCCAAACAGTTTTGTTAACATTGGTAGAATTTCTAATTTTATTGTCAAAATGGTTTTTTTTCTTAAGTTCTATCATTTTTTTGTATCTCTTCTTGTGTTCCTTAATATAATTCTTCAATGCTATGTTACTTCTATCATCTCTATACAAGTCATGTTCTGCAATTATTTCATGATGCTCATTGATAATTTCATCATCAATCCATCCATTATTTACATTACTAGAAACTATTTTTGTTTTAGGGAAATGTAAATCGAAGTAATATTTTAAAATGTTATAGAAATAAGTAAATTTGTCTTCCACATTACAGTTGTAAAGTTTTGTCCAATCCTCTTTGGAAAGGTCATAAATGAAAAGGTTAATGCTCTCTTGTTTATACCTCCTTTCATACTTATGTATTTTAAGATTTAAATTGTTTTTTGTATTTTTTGAACTGAGGATTTTAAAAAGTTGTCCATCATGATCTGACAATGCTGTAATTAAACATTCTACTTCAAAAAATTTGTTATCCAAATTAGTAATAAAATTATCAATGGCAGATACACTCTTTTCAGCAACTCTAGTTGGAATTTTAATTGTATATTTAAAACCATGCATCTGCAAAACATTAACAAACTTCTTTTTCTTATTGTCTTCCCTCAAAACATCGATATTAAAATCACCCCCCAATAAAATTTTTTTGTCAGTTTTACTTAAAATTTTCAAAAGTTCACTAAGTTTTTCCAAATATATATCAACGTCTTGTGATGGTGTTCTATATACCCCAGCCACTAAAAATTTTTCTTTGCCTGCTTTAATTTCTGTTACACAAGATTCAAAGATTTTATCTTGATTAAGCGCCTGTAATGAACTTAGCATTATATTTTTGAATTCAATTTTTTCTGACACCAAAATTAATACTCCCCCTCCCCCGAAATCCGTTCTAGTGTACCAGGTCGAAACTTGATACCCTGGTATTTTGAGTTTTGTTATTTCATGTTGGTTTAATTTATGTTCAGTCAAAATTATAATATGTGGCTTTAATTCTTCAATTGTGATAATTAATGAGTCAATTCTAGTTGCTAGACATTGTATGTTTTGATGGAAGACAGATATACTACATGATTTCTTATCATTATTGATTGTAGAAGTTAATTCTAAAGATTTAGGTAGTACACTCACTTTGCTACCAGAAATGGCCATGCCTGGGAGTTTAAAAAGTGACTTGTGGAGGTCTGATTACCAATATCTTTCAGTTGCATGGTTTCACATTCCAAGTTGATTTTTTTGTCACTACTGCGAAATGACCTGTTTTCGTTACATGTTTATCACTTGCAAGAATTCATGGTTACATTGTTTACTATGGAAAAGGAATGTTTACTATTCGAAAGTAATATTTACTATCATTTTTGGATTTTGCCAACGTAAACAAAGATGTGTCATTGTTTTGTAAACTGTTTTAATTTTCAACAGCCAAAACTGTAAAACCAAAGTAAATATTAACTTCATATTGAAGGCATAAACTAAAAAATGCTATTAGTTTTGTAACGTTCCTAACTGTAATAAAGAAATATCCAATGTCTGATTTGATTAAGAAAATAATTATTTTTGTATTGTAGCAAAAAGTAACGTTCAAAACACGAGGTTGTTTGAGGCTCGATAAATCTCGCACTTTAAACATGGCCTCAAATATGTAACGACTCACTTTCTACTCTTGTTATGAAAAATACTGTTAACTCAGTTTTAGGAGGGTTAAAAATTGGCCAAATTATTTGGCAACATATGTTTTATATTATCTTCAGTATTCCGAGTTCGCTCCACAATTGAATAAGTTTGCAAAGGCCATGGTTTGTTGCAGGAATGTTCTGCTGGTTGGATGGTTAAATCGTTTTGATTCAGTCCCACAAACGTGAGCCCTCTATTTAATACATACAATTGCTAAGAGTGATTAATACAGAATTTCGTTAAGGCCAGAATCAAGTAAATTCTTCAAAAAACTTGCAGTGATACAATTGCATTGTGGAGTGGTGTTTGAGCAACGATGATATAGGTAGTTTTGATCAAAGGTAGTAAGAAAGTAGCTTTAACCAGACTAGGGGGGGGGGGGGGGAAGATTATTGGGCCTAGGAGCAAATGCTAAATTCAGCCCTGATGATACATCTCTCGTGTTATACTTACACCAAGTAAAATTTATACAGTTTTTTAGATTGTTCTTTTATGGACACATAGTAAAATTTGGGGATTTCCTTCATCTTGGTTGGCTTAAATAATTTACCAAAACATAACCTTTCTGTGTCCCTCATAGCAGTCCACACTCATTGAGTAATAATTGTTAATTATCTTAGTCTATTAATAAACAACAACATGATCTATCTGAATAAAAGTTAAACATATCAACCTAAAAATAACCTAGTTTGAAATTGGTAAAATATTAATTAAGAATACAGAAGTAAGAGAATAAAAAAACTTACTCAAGTACGGGGTGAAAATCATCTCCAACTCAATTTTGTCATTGAGTATAGGGAGTTTGCTGATGAAAATTTCCACCTCAACAGCATAGTAGTCACTCACAAACCCAGTCACTGCCAGGTCTGTTGATTTTTCATTTTCTAAGTTACCATCTCGCTGCGCTTTCAGATCGCCACAAAATGTCACCCAAGGCAAGGGATTTTTCTTTAAGTTTAAGTTGATGTTTAGATTCTCGCTAATAAAGTCTTTGTCAACTTGCCTCAGCTGAAAAATACCAAATAAGTATGAAGTGCTTTTAAATTATGTTTTAGTGTAAACGAGCTGTTGGCCCGTCCTATGTACGGGAATCGAGTAGTCAATTAAAACTGAATATGATTCAGAACAGCTAGTTTACAACTTGGTGGCCGATTCACACACACTGGCTTTGAGTACAGTAGCTACATACCACCTTCCACTGCACTATCACTTACCGTACCTTATTTTACCACCTTGGCCACTGAAACCTCTAAAATGATCCTGGCCTCCCGTTCTCTTCTATCCCCTGCCATTTCTAAGGAAGATACCAGTCTGAAGATGTCTTTCATTACTTGGTCTTCCAAGTGGTCATCCACCTTGTAGTACTCCTTGGAATACACTTTTAAAAGTTGAAGTATCTTCTCTCCATCTCCACCATGCATAAAGCCTGTCCAGTCCATCCGAGATCCGAGCCTTTTGGTCTACTTTTGGAATATACCCCTTTATCAAGTTTCTGAACCATACAGTACTACTGGGATAGTTATGATATCGTATGAATCGATTTTGGTTTCTACTGACACCCTGCAGCTTACTGGTCACTTTTCTGGAGACCTACTACACCGGTTGACATTTTCATTACGAATAAAATGTGTACTGTATGCAGTCATACTTATATTCAAACATTTAGAAAAAGATGTATCAACAGGTATACAACTTATATTTTAAAGGATTAAGCACTTATACTTAGACAGATTGCATTTATGACAATACTTGATTATATCTTTAAAAGGTTTAGTTCAACATTAAACAATCTCCTGATAAAATAGATCTTTTACGGTAGGAAATAAACTACATTTTAAAGTGAAATAGTGTGTAGGCAAACTCTGACGATCAATATTTTTGTATACAAACAACTTGTAACATAAACATTTCATTGACAGTTAGAAACCAGCTGTTAGTTAAACCACCACTAAAACGACTTAAACTTGTCCGTCGGCTGCTAGACTTTTTGAAAATTTAAACTTAATTTCTAAGAAACTGAAACTCTAAACTAAAATTATGGCCTCAACATTCCCTAGTTCTCAAAATGATCTTTCTTTCAACACAAAAATCATGAAAATCCATCAAGTGGTTGATTCAGAATCGTGAAATAAAAAAACCCTGTCACGTTTTAATATATAGGATAGTTCTTTGCCTCACTTTGCTATATACATTTCGGCAATTTCAGATAATGAACACCCAATATTAATATTTTTAGATCTTAAAAATGCATTTGATTCAGTTGATCGATCTAAGCTTTTTTCCAAATCGGAAGCAGTTGGCGTAAGGGGTAACGCACTTCAATGGTTTAAAAGTTATCTGTCTCAAAGATCTCAACTTGTATCAGTGACGTAGCCAGGATTCAAAAATAGGGTGGGTCGACCGGGGTAAAAGGGGGTCCGAGAATTTTTTTTTTAAATATAGGCCCTAGAACGGTCATTTTTAGCTCTCTTGGCATTGAAAGTAACCAACCCCAACGTCAATACAGTATGATTGTATAATTTTACATTTAATTTAACAAAAAAATATTATATTTAAGATCAGAAGCAACCAAACTGGCTACGTCACTGCTTGTATCAATACATAACACCAACAGTAATGTTGAATAATGTTAACTATGGCGTGGTTCAAGGCAGTACACTTGGGCCTGTTTTATTTATAATATATATAAATAATATTTCAAAACTTAATATTTTTGGTAAACTTTTCTTATTTGCTGAAGACACTTTAATTTTGAACAGCGGAAAAGCTTGGTCTGAGGCCCGCAACAAAGCTTTGCACGACCTAATGGAAACCAAGTTATGGTTAAACCAGAATATACTCTCTTTAAATTCATCAAAAACTAAGCTTATGCCAATTTCTTTAAGTTTAAAATCTGATTACAATTTAGAAAATCTTGTTATTCACACCTGTGGTGATTACCTCGACGCCAACTGTACATGCGAATCTATTGAAAAAGTAGAGTCATTCAAATATTTAGGAGTGGTCTTTGATTACCGTCTTAAGTGGTCTAGTCATCCTACTAATATTATAAATGAGAAAGTTTGGATGTATGGATGTATGTTTGTGACAAGTGAACGCGAAAAATACTGGTCGGATTGGGCTGAAATTTGGCATGATGATAGCTCACATTCCCGATTAACATATAGGCATATTCTTATTTCAAAAATCCTTTCGGGCTCCACCCCAGTGGCTCTGGAGTTTCCCATGTTAACCTTATGAGAAATGGAATTATTGAATCTTAACAGCTGTTTCAATTAAACAAGTTGGTACCGTTCTATGATGTTCAATAGCATTAAAGTTACAAGGATTACCAACAGGGTGCAGCACTATTATCTCTTTTACATTAATGACAACAGCTAATTTGCAACCAAAAGGTGAGTGAGCGTAGCGAACGAACTTCAACCTGGAGGCGAGTTAGCGTAGCGAACGAGCTAACCTGAACAGTAACCTAAAGGTGAGTGAGCCTAGCGAACGAGCTCCAACCTAAAGGTGAGTGAGCGTAGCGAACAAACTTCAACCAGGACGTGATTGAGCCATGCGAACGAGATAATCTTGAAAATTAAGAAGTTAAACGGGGCAAAGCCCGCGGGTTACAGCTAGTATTCAATATTTAAACAGCAAAATTAGAAAATATATCTATGCTATCGGTCAGCTGAATCAGATTCTAAATGAAAGTAAAATGAAATTAATGTACTACGCTTTTGTTCAATCACTTTTATCCTTCGGAATCATAAGCTGGGGGGGGGGGGTTGTTTTAAAAGGATTTTAGAGCCATTAAATATAACACAAAAGTTAATATTAAAAATTGATTTTGGGAAGTGCAGGCGTTACCCATCTGACACTCTCTTTAAGGATGTGTCAGTTTTAACGATCAGACAACTTTTCATAAAAAATGTTCTAAGTCATATTTTTAAAAATTATAACAACATTTTCTCCATAATTTCCCATACACATAATACTAGATATTCTACCCGAATTGGAATTTTATCACTACAACAATACAAATCCTTTTCATCGACCAACTCATTTTATATTGCACACGTTCTATTTCGTAACTTACAAAACAATTTTCAAAGCGTTAATCTCTTTGACTCCTCCACTTTAAACATATTCAAACGCCGTGTCAATGAGTGGTTACTTGGACTAGGCAGGTACGAGGCTGAGCTTATCATCACAGCTGATTACAGACACAGACGCTCCTTAACAACACGAAATGCGACCTGACCATTGTACTCTGACGACTCGTTCTCCACCGCCCGCCTCACCCCCTCTAGACACACTTTGAAAACCGTATGTATTACAGTTATGTTATTTTTTATTTAAACTTAATTATGCCACTAGTATTTTTTCACATGGTTTGCTCTTGTAACTCCATTTAGATAATATTTTCACCTCATCATATCTTCCGTTATTTATTTATTTAGATTTTGTTTTTGATAAATAATGTTATGTTTGGACGCAACTACAGTCGACACACAGGCTTGCTGCCCATGTCGGCTTATTCCTTATAAAAATGCACGCTTTGTAAACATAGATGTAATGCAAAGGTTAATTTTATGTTATTCTTTTAAATTCACTTATGTTTTTCTCCTTCAAATAGGATTTGTGAACAAATTCTGTAAATAATTTGTTGGAATAAAGATATAATTCATTCATTCATTTATACAAGAGAAACTTAAAACTGCCACCTCAGAAGCAGAATAGTTACTTTAATTTGACTAAAGTTACTATACAATGAAAAAGCAGTAATGGCTGGTAATAAAAGGTGGTGGGAGAGCTCTGTATATTTTAACATAGCCTATGATGAACAACAAATATCCTATCTATATAAATAAAATTAGATTTTTGTCTGTACATTGCTCAGAATTATATATTTTAAGGTTATTTTTATGTTTTATATACATTAAAGAAGCAGAAACAAGTCTTATCTCTATTTCTGTCTGTCTGTCTGTCTTTCTGTCTATCTGTAACACTCAAGATGGCATTTTACGCTATCTTCTCCAGGAAAACGAGAGTAATCAAGATCCAAGTCATTTTAATGTATTCACTGGATTGGTGAGAGTGTCTTTAGCCATTAAAATATGGCCTCACTACTTTTTAAATAAAATTACAGACGTTCAAAAATGCAGTTTTGTGTGATTTTTGTCAAGTTTTCGTCTAATTTTTATCACACAATTTTTTTCACATAAAAATTGTATCTATGCATTTTTTAAACCGTTCATTATGAAACTTGGTATTATGTATAAGTAAAACAGAAATTTGATCTTAATCCAATTAAAAATTTCCCGATTTTATCTTTATTTTGACCAACTTGGTTTTGTTTACCAACCTATGAAGGAGGTTTTACGAATAAGGGATGTTAATAATGGATATATTAAATGATTTCTTTGATTTAAGGGGTTTGTTTTAAATTATACTGTTTAATTAGCAATAAATTGCATAAACATAAATTTATTTACCATCCTCCGTGGTTGAATCACATATTTTATGTAACATAATGATAATTACATGCCAGAAACTCAGTATCTAACTTCTTTCATCTAAGGCCCAGCCGGCAGAGCTCCGAGCGCCAGTGCCGCATCAAGCAATTTACTTCATTGAAATGATTGTTAATTAAATTTATAGTGAAAGGGGAACGTCTACCGAAAATAAATTGGCTTTACAACTTAATTAAACGTGACAAAATTAAAATTAAGATGATTTACATGTTAAACAAACTAAACAAATAAGTTATGGTATATGTTTAATGGGTTAACTAGGGATTCAAATTTATACTTTAATTTTAACATGTTTGTTTTATTTAGACACATTTGAAATGTGAAACAGTACAAAAACTAGCCCCTTCACACTCATATAAATAAGGCTAGGCCTATGACATTTTTTTCTCACAGAACCTTAAAATAAACAGTATTCAGATTGTTTATTTGCAGTTTTTACTAATTATTTTGCTAAACTAAACTAAACTATTTTGTTTACACTAGGCCTATATTTCTAAAAAGTTATATCAGTGAATTCATTAGTTTCGAATAAAAATAGGCTAACCTTTTCTTAGGCCTAGCACAAAACTGTACGATGTGTCTAACAGCAATTAATTAATCAATTAATTGAAAGAGGAAACCCAATGCCAAATATAGGCCAATTAACTACAAAATTTGATATCATCTATTATAACATCAAGTCTTAGGCTTATACAATGGCTCAGCTTAAAAAAAAGATAATACTGCAATGATGGTATTTTTACTGCCTTTAAACTGCCTGAAAATATTAACTCATTAGAATCTTTTCAAAAATACAAAAAAGAAGTTACCAAATTGCTGCTTAATAAAGTGTATTACAAAGTTGATGGTTTTTTAAATGATGTAGATATTTGATTTCTTAGAATACTTTATATAGGTCGGCCACTTAGAAAGCGTCCTCCTCGTAGCATTGGTGCGAGAGAGGGATACCGAGCTGTGGGAGTGAGACAGACTATGGCTCTTCCCCCACTCCGCTGCCGTTGCCCCCCAGAGGGGAGGTAATTGCCCGATGTTGGAACCGGCACTTCAGGTAGGCGACGACTGAACAAGCCAGCCTCTTTGGGTTGTACCCAAAGTGAGAGTACCCAGTGACATTCCTCCATCCAGGATGGTGGGTGTTCAGCTCTGCGAGACTTTGGTCTCCCACCTGCCTGTGGCTGTGGTTCTTTGGGGCTTGCCCTGCTTGTAGTGTACGACTGACATTATGTGAGGCATATCCTCGGCTCTGGAAGTAGCCTCTTCCTGGGAGGTGGAAAACGGGCAAGCAAAGCCCCCAAATGGGAGGTAACTGCTTGGTGTTGGAATTGGCGCTGCAAGTAGGCCATAGCTATGGACGACTGGACAAGCCAGCCCCTTAGGGGAGAGTACCCAGTGACATTCCTCCATCCAGGTTGGTGGGATGTTCAACTCTGCGAGAGGTGGTAGTGCGCCATCAATCTCTCACCTGCCTGTGGCTATGGTTCTATGGGTTTCGGCCCGCTTGCTGTGTGCGATCAACATTATGTGGGGCAAATCCTCGACTTTGGAAGTAGCCTTTCCTGGAGGTGAAATCGGGCAAGTACCCGTAAGCTCACGGGGAACGTAACTTTCCGCAGTGTGAGGGTAACGGCTGGGCGCACTCCATCAGCCAATCCCTGTCTCTGAGCCCGGAAGGTTATCTTGAGTGTGGGGGGTTCTCCCTGGAACCTCAATTGAGTTAAGGGTGTCGCCACCTTTGGTGGATAGGTTCATCCGGGTGGGTCCTACTTCTATACCTGCCTCCTTTTGGGAAACCCTGATGGCCCGGCAGTGATGTTGGGTTAGATGGGCAAATGAAGTAGATCGGGTGCTGGGACCAAGCCCGCTGGGGGTATCTAGGGATCTATCGCCCTGGCTTCCCAGCGAATGGGATGGTCTCGATCGGGTAGTGATGTAAATAGGAGGTCCCGTCAGCACGCTGACGGTCCCCTTCCTCCTGGCTTTGATGGCCGATTACGGCCTGTCAGGGATTAGATAGGTCCCGAGTGTTGCTTGCACTATGTTGCGTCCAGGGACTCCATCATGGTCTGTCGGGGTTTCGGCCCTGGGGGAACCCAGTTGGAGGGACGTAAAACCAAGTAACCGGTATCCATAGTTAGGATTGAGGGGCAACCCTCTTTCCGAAGGGTTGCTTCGGCAGCCGGTGAGCCTGATGACCTTAAGTCATCCGCCCATGGTGTGCCTAAGGTTGGTGCGTATGCTTCGGCCTACACCATGGGGCCCGGGTATGTTTAATTATAGGTACCGGGTTGAAGTCGAGGGGCTTCGGCTCTATCGGCACAAAACAAACGAACGAACGGACGAATGAACTCCGCTGCCGCCCCACCCCCAACCTTTTATAAAAATTTACAGCAAATAAATTATACAGCTGATAAAAATGTAAACAATTACGTTCTTCATAACTTGAGAAAAATAGGTCCTGCAAAAAATATTATATAGCCTAAATCGCATCAATATTTGAGCATCATGAAATGTTATTATATCATTGTGTAAGCAGTTCCATTTGGTAACACAGGATTTCAACTCCCACGACACCGGAGCGGCGCCGTGTCGGTGTCGTGCTGGTGTCTTGTTGTGCAGTGTGAAAACGGCCATTGGCGGAGAGGGGGAACATACCCTCCCCCGCCGTTACCTCCCCTAAATGTGCTAAAAATTTCGCGCAGGTCGTTCTAAGCGGCCGACCTATAGTTATTATAGTTTTATGTATTTTAATTGTCCATGATTATTTGACCTGTTTCCCAGCTATGCTGGATCTGTAAAACGTTGTGTGGAAATAAATTATTGACTTGACTTTAAATTTCTATTTTGGTATCTTTACTGTGTCAGTAATGCGAGTTTATTAAGGCCTACAATGGTTTGCAATTACTTGAGACGATAGGGTCATGCATTAAATGTTGTGCAAATAGCACTTATACGTCAGCATGAGAGATGTTATTATGTAATCTGTTTTATTTCATATTTTATACTGTACTTTATAATATTATGGAAATTGTATATATGTAGGTTTATGTTTTTAGTTTATGTATTTTTTAACGTCACCTGCAAATTAAACACCACGAGCAATGCTCAGTCACCTGGTACTATGAGTATATATATAAACATTTCAATAACATTACTGTATCAAGAATCAAGAATTTTTATTCATCATACAATATCGTTAAAATATTAAAATACCCCCGGCGCAGCAAATCTGCAGACTAAGCAAATTTCCATTTGCCTGATTTGATTTTCAATTAAATCAATTTAAATAACATTAGGTTTAACGAGTACCTAGGTTAGCTGCCTACAGGGAGGGTAATAAAGAGTGTTTTTCAGTAAAATATTAATAGCTTAGTATAAAATAAATAGATTTGCCAAGGTTATCCATAAACAAGCAAATTACACCAGTTTACTTATTCTCCATAAGAATAACGTGGGAATTTCTAATTTACAATTTTCTCCGTAACCAATAACCATAGAAAAACACTTTTTCAATATACTAAATTATTTGATATTTTAAGCTCTTCAAAATGATCTAGAGAAAATTTGGGAAACTTTAAGTATTGGGAGTCAAAAACGAGAAAAACCAATTTTCACCCCATAAATCCCCATTCCCAAGGTCCGATCAAGCTGGTTCGCAAACTCGTTCCAATAAACGTAGGTTTACACATTTGTAGAAAATTTCATCGAAATCGGATCATTTTTGCTTGAGTTATCGTGCTAACGGACACTTAAATATATATACTAGCAGAGTACCTGTTCTTCGTACGGGGTTGGCATATAAGTATAAAATGCTTATTGTAGTTATACTCAAGTTTTGCGTTTGCAATGGGGGAGGACACAGTTTGATAAAATTTGGTTCTTTAAATTTACGGTATGATATAGTATAACACATCTACCATAGCCATAATGTTCTACCACTGCAACTTAACAATAGAAAAAAAATAAATGATCAAACATTCGCACAATATCACAAATTATTCATTAAATTAAAAACATAAACATAACTGTAAACAATCCTACTTTGACAGTTCTCACTGTGTATCACAACTTTTTGTTTCTGCTTAGTTCAAATTAGCTGTTGTCATATATGCAAAAACAAAATAATAATAGTGCTGCGCCCTGTTGGGAAGCCTTATAACTTAATAATGCTATTACATATTATAGAACCAACTTGTAAAGTTGAAACAGCTGACTAAATTCTTTAATTCTTTTTAAATATGAATAGGTACTCATAAGGTTAACACGGGTAACTGCAGAGCCACTGGGGCGGAGTCCAAAAGGAATTTTGAGATAAGAATAGGCCTATATGTTAATCGGGAATGTTAGCTATCATCATGCCAAATTTCAGCCCAATCCGTCCAGTAGTTATTGCATGATTGAACTTCAAACAAACAAACAAACACACAAACTTTCACATTTATAATATTAGTAGGATGAATTTGAACGGATGGTGTTTTTGGCTTCTATGGACATCAAAATGAAAAAGTAAATTTGTCCCGGGTCTAAGTCTTACCATGAGATCTACGGTAATAGCTCATTCCCTATATGGGAAATTCGCTAACAAGAAATATTACCTTTCCTGCTTTCAGAGAAAATCATTTGTGAAAAATATCTTGAGTTCAACCAACAAGCCACCCTAAAATTAAGTTACCAGTCTTTTACATTACATAACTTACCTGAACATAATCAATGCAATCTCCAGTCTTTTTGTCCTGTCTCAAGCGCAAATTTTGCATGACAACAAATAATCCACGTTTCTTGGAACCTGCCTCAACTTCAAACTTGCAAGAAAAGCTATGTTTTCCGGAGAGAGAGTCAAAGTAAGAATTCTCTCGTACAACCAGTCCATCATATCCTGCATTGATACGATTCCTTACTAAGTGCTTATACGAACATACTTTATCACTCTCCAAGTTATCTGAAATAGTAATTGAACTATGTAATTATTATAGTACAAAGAACAATTTATTACAGGAAGAAAATTGCTGTAAATACCCCCGCCGCAGCAAACCTGCGTTGAAGAAGACCAATCACAATCACCACCAAACACCCCTAATCATCAGTCACCAGCAGTACAACGAAAAACTGGTTAGTACATAGGCTGTGGCTATGCCATGAGACTGGATGTAGCAAATGTTTTTATTTAGGCTACAATGTATAACACAGATGATTTGTTTTTGTTATTGACATTGTTTCAGGGGCGGCTCCAGAGGGTAGGCCAGGTAGGCCTGGGTCTACCCAAGATGTTGGTAGATATTTCAAAATTATAAATAAAGATATATAATTATACGTAAATAAAGGGAGAGCATTCAAACTACATAATTATTTTTCTTTAAATTTAAAATTTCCCCTTTTTGAGGGGAAATCCCATCAAACCTCTCGTACTCTCAAACTCTTTCTTGATCCTTGTCAGGCCAGGCCTACCGGTACCAAACAATTATTCCTGGAGCCACCCTTGGTAATAGTATAATTCATAACAAGAGTAGAAAGTGAGCCATTATATATTAGAGACCATGTTTGAAGTGCAAAATTTATCGAGCACTTTTGGATCACTCGTGTTTAGAACATTAATTTTTGTTACAAAATAAAGACTAATCATTTTCTTGATTAAAATTATGTCTTAATTATAGTTAGGGACATTGCAACACTCATAGCATTTTAGGTTATATACCTTTAATTTAAAGTTAATATTTACTTTGGTTGTACCAGTACAATAAGGAAAAAAAGGTAGTGTAGGCTACACTTTGTCTACCAAATGTTGAGGTTTTAAGAATAATTTAATATTTTTGATTCTTTTAAACAGTAGGGATCCGTTTGGAAGAGGGTTCAAGGGTCCGTTAAAGAGAAGAGAAAAAATAAAAAAATTACAAAAATTTGAATAAAGCAGGGGAAACTATTTTTGTCAAAACTTAAAATTAATGGAAAACCCGTTTTGAATCATGCAATGAAGTATTTTGAGTTAGGCTTTCAAAGTAGGCCCTAATATAAAGAGTGTCCGTATTTTAAAAATGTTTGTTAACATACAAATTCTGTCAAGACCCATTAAGAGTTATTTTTCTCTTAGGTATGTTGTAGTAAAGGTGGAAATAATGACAACCCTAATACCAAACAGTTCACCTGGGCAGTAAGACAGCTCATGTTTCATAATAGAATAAGGGCTTCTGAAATTGCTAAGAATATTTCAATGGAAGCCATTTCTGGATCGGATCCCGTCACCATTGCTTCTGCAATTTGCCACATTAGGGATACTTTCCTGTTAAAGAAAAGACTTCACTTACCGTACTTAAAGACTTTAGGGTACTTTCCTAATCATTATTCTCTTAGATGATTTCTTATCGATACACAGTAGACTCTTGATAATTCTAAATTGGTGGGCCAAGCAAATCAATTTGACAGGAGAAAAATAAACGATTTGAATTACAGAAAATTCTACTGTACAACTTCTGACTTGACTCCACCACTTTCTACTGTCATGATTTTTTCTTTTTTTCCGCAATCGAAAGGGTTTTGTATTTATGAATTGGTTCCATGGTAAAACAACAAATAATTTAGCTTCGACCACGGTCCAGACAACAAAATGGAACTTAGCAAACTACAAAACTAAGTTTAAAACTTGTTCACTGTGCATGACGAGTAATCTCGTCACCGCCAACGCACGTGAAGTGCCAAACACACTTCTTTAAAATCTTTCTTCAGTCTTGAAGAATTAAGAATATGGGAGTCATGGCTCGATCCAGGCTGCCTAGCCCCAATGTCTCTAAATTGTAATTGTGCATCACACACTGCCTGAACATTCACTGAAAATATTCCTTTCTATTTCAGTATACTTCAGCTAAGTCTCCTCCTATCGACTGAATTTTAATATGGCTGCAGTATTACGCACCAACATAGTTTAGCAATTTCATAAAACTCCTTCTTGACCTATAATTGAGGTCATCGGTGCTTGTTGGCAAAGATTTGAACTGAGGGCGTAAACTTGCCAAGGCTTCTGAAACTTCTTTAACGATTTTACTCGCAGTTGAATATTGGATTCCAACTTGGTCACCAACACCCATTAGAAAACTGCCTGATGCATAAAACTTAAGTGCAGTAAACAATTTTACCTCTGGAGAGATTGCTCTGTTCTTCATGGTTTTCGTATGAATCCTGTCTCGAATAAGTCAAGAACCAGATTGGCTGTCCCTTTACTTAATCAAAATCTATCAAAGAATTCAAAATCATCCCACTTTTCAAACTGGTTGATCCTTTCACTTATCTTTCTAGGAGCCCTATGAATTGGAGCTCGTATTTCCAACTCTTCTTCCTTCAGATAGTTTAAAATATCAACGATTTCTTCCATGACTACAAAACTATAGCCTAAAATAAAAATACACGTAGGTACCACAAATAATATTACACTGTTGTCTTTGAGGTTAAGTATGACCAACTCAACTGCTTGGACGAAATGACGTCAGCAGAAGGTTTAACTGAGAAACGGGAGTTAAACCAGGTGGGAACAGGGGTTTTTTTCCATGGTTAAACTAAATTTCAGTGTTGGAGAAAAGGTAGAGTTGAGTTAACCCAGGGATTAAACCATAATAACAGGTTAACCGAGTTTGGAGAAATCGGGCCTGTGTGTCACAAATCATGATTTAAAATCAAAGACATCGACGAAGGGTTAAGTAGTGGATGATAGGCCAATAACCTAAGGCAAAACGATTAGCCTACACTAGGCCTACTTTCCTTCTAGAACTTGTCACTTAGAATAGAACTGTTCCCTCAATGCTATAACTTAGTAGGTCTAGCCTTAGCCGTGAATACTCTCAGGACTGCAGTATCATTTAGGCTACCTACAGTTAATTTCTACCTAGTCATACTTCAATCGATTAGTTAGACTAGTGTCCGTTTTCCCTGAAATTAAAAGTGTTGAGGCCACAAAGTATTTAGGAGTGGTATCTACAGCTCGCTGTCATGGTCGGACCAACTTGACTAACTTTGCAGCAGACTCAACACTGCCATCTTCGACCTCAGAAGAGCAAAGAGTCTAGTGTTAGCACCATGGACGCCATCAAGATTGCATACAGTTCTCTTTTTGAGAGGCATTTACGCTATGGCATTGTTCTTTGAGGTGCTGCTAGTCAGGTGAATTTGAAGCGGGGGCTCATAGTTCAGAATAAAGCAATTTGTATTCTGGTGGGACTTGATCCAAGAGATAACTGTAGAAGAGCTTTCATTGACCTTAACTTCTTAACTGTGGTCAACATTTACCTTCTGAAAGTGATCAACCTTGAAAACTCCGCATTTTGAAGAGAAACCTAAGCCTTTACGCCTACAGCACAAGGAACGCCCAGGACTTCAACCTGACAGTGCACCACACAACGAGGTTTCAACGAAAGCCCACATACGCCGGAGCCAAGCTGTTCAATGTCCTACCAATGGAAGTGAAGAGATCTCACCTTGGTTCTTTCAAGAAGTTGTACAAATGGCTGATTAAACGACCATTTTTTCTGTTGAAGAATTTTTTGACTGGCCCAATTTTCAAGTATAAAAACATGGACTCATTCGCTTTAGTTCATTTTTTTTGTATTTGTAATTATTTTACCTATTTTTTTTACACCATTTTCAATCTTAACGATTGCTTGATAATGTCTCTCTCTCTCTCTCTCTTTTCTTAACGTTATATCAAAAAAACACGGTACCCAACTTAAGTTAACTTATAACAAGATTAAGTTTATAACAGATCCAGTAGCCGACTTTTAGTCCAGTTGAGGGTACAGTTTCTTAACTGGGATAACTTAAATGCTAATATCGATTCGATTAGTAAACCTTCATGCAATTTTTCATTATCAGCAAGTTTGGTTAGTTAGGTTAGGTTATGACAGTTTCATGATGTAATAGATACCTATATTTAAAAAGAGGCCTAGGCCTAGATCTATTATTAACTTAATATTTGCAATTCGACAATTTTAATCGATATTAAGTTAGCATAGCCCAGTTAAGAAACTGTACCGCCAGTGGATCCTATACGATAGGTTGGCAGATACTAGGGCCTAAGTTAAGAAACTGTACCCCCTAGGTTACCTAGGTAAAAACTTAATCTAGGGGCCTATTATCACAGAAAACGTACTTACTATAGTAGTACGTTTTCTGTGCTAGGCTATTATGAATATTTATTAAAAATATAAAAATAAATCAAACACGCTAAAACTCACATATTTTATAAGAATCTTCCGACAATGAGACTGCAACCAAAGATAATAATCCAACGTTAAAAACGAAGAAATTAATCATCATTTTCCGTAAACAACACAATATAACCTAACATAATTATGAGTATTGAGTAATGAATCTGAATGAATAATAACAAGATAATAACAACCCAAGTCCAAACCCAAAATCAAACTGAACTGACCCAGTCTAAGACTAGACTAGAACGACTATTAGAATGAGTTTTTTTTTACATTTTATTTCATTTACAAATACAATCTTCAACAGTGAGGCAATTGTACTTTGAACTCGAGTTGCACACCATTATACTTTTCCTACAGTTACCATAAAACAAATAACAAATAAATTGGTGAAGAAACATAACCTATTTTTACACAGAAGTGAACTTTTAATATAACATTTAATGTGGTGAAGTGACAAATACAACAGTACAACAGTTGACCAGCTGATTTACAGCCAGTGCTGCCAACGTATTTCGCGCGCATACGACGTTGCCTGCATGTTACGCGCTCACTATTTCGTGCCTTCTCGTTGCAAATCTGGAGTGAGACAAAGTAATTAGAGTGAGACAATGTTAACATTGTCTCACTGATGAGCGAATTTGCCACTTTGCTTTCTCAAATCAGTGAGAGAACATGTACATTGTTAGGTAACTGTAGGAAAAGTAGTTAGTCTTTATCCAACAATAAAGCTAACACACAAACTTTGCATATTGGTACAATTTTTAAAATCCATAAATTTCTAAAAACGACTACTCAGGTCCAAAACATGGCTTCTTTTCAATCTATATACACAGTTGCTGTTGTCCAACAAATTGAAAGCAAGGTAGTTGGTATGGTACTCTAATTTCTTTAAGTCGTATTTGGCACTTAACCTTGAAATTTCTGCTTTGACCGTTGGGGTTCGACTGTCCCTAATGGAGCACTTCGTTATTAACGAAAACGAACCATAGTGCCTGGAGAATGTGTCTTAGAACTTTAGATTGGAATCTTTGGATGATGTTCAGATGGGATTCACTGGATGTCCCCCACAGTTGGATACCGTACGTCCATACTGGTTTTAGAATAGTTTTATATAAAAGTAATTTGTTTTCTGTTGTTAATTTAGAATTTAGATTTAATAGCCAAGAGAGATTTTTAAATTTAACGAAATTCTCTTGTTCCAGGGGCCCTATTTTTGAAATGGTTGACTGTTGAGTTGAGTGTCGAGTCATTCTATTTCCAATCGTTTCGTATTTTTGAAACGGTTGACGGTGGACTTATACAACCAAAACTACTCAACACCTATCGAGCTGTTGAGTGGAGGTTGACTGCACTTTCTTCTTCCTCTCTTTCGGCAAAAAATTACTCTTTTTGAGACGACGCCATATTGTTTTGTTACTGCTTTAATTTACTAATTAATTGCGATTTAGAGGTTATGTATTGCGTATTTGTTGTCAATGTATTAGCACCCAATTATGCGTTTGTTTTCTGTAGAATAATCGCATTTTAATTTTATTTACTGTGTCAATACTAGACTATTTAATCAAGGGTTTTATTCTTGTTGGAATGTTTGAAATAGACTAGGCATACTAATTGAACTTATTATAAGATAATTATTGTTATTAGACCTATGATTTAAGGTATTAAAGATTGTGGTAGAGAGAAACAATATCATAGTTTGTTTCAATACTATTCACCTAATAAAGGGATCAAATTAATTTAAGTTACGATATGCTTCCAGTGCAATGGCAAATAGCCGCTTTAACCTAAATAAAAAACAATTAAAATTAACATAAAACAAACCGATGAAGGAAACTAAAATAAGGTGATGTGTTCCGAAATAGAGACGAAGAAAGCAAATAATAATGTATTTAGGATGAGTGTAGGACCTAAAGTGCAGCCTATGCCTAAACTTATAACTAGCTACACCCTAAAACAAACATCCATAGTAAATTTTATTTTTTATACTTAAGTTTATTACTTTATTTAGTTTACTTTAGTTTATTACTTAAGTTAAGGTACTTTGCAATCACTAAGATTAAGCAAGACATAACCTCAATCTCAATCTCTCAAGAACGGAGTTGACAGTTTACCTCAGTGTCTCGAAATATGGCAGATTGAGATTAGCTGCCAGATTTTAGAGGGCCAGGCGCACACAGGCGATTTTGAGTCGCGCAACAGTTGCCCGACTAAAATGTTCAACATTGTTTTAAATTGGAGTGCGCACACGAAGGAAACAGTCTGGGGACAGTCGCGCAACTGTTGCAACCGATGTTCCCGGACCCAATTTGCCAGCGACTGCTCTGCGACTGAATTGTTGCGGGACTATCGCTCCAGGTTTGGTATCCATTGAAACGAGTGTAGATGCGCACACATGCAACTAAATAGTCGCTGTGTCGCCCAGTCTCACCCCAGGAGTTCAACTACTCGTGGCCAGAACTGTCACTAGTGTTTGCTCACTTGTTGTGTGTGTGAAGTTTTTAGAAAATTACAAGTATGAGTGTGCGTGATGAGGATGTCGAACAATTAATTGATGAAGTTGAGAAGAGGTTGATACGAAATTGCTGGTCTCACAAGTGTTAACAGTTCATCAAAACTTCCGACACTCATTCTTGAATATTTGAAAAACTTCTCTGGGTGTTCTCTTAAGTCATTGTACAAAATGGAACTGTCCTTTCACAAGTCGCTCACTATATATGGGATGAACCCAGTATCTTCTCTTTTTCATTCGCGCGCGAAACTTCAGCAACAAAGCACATACTACGGCTGTATCATTGAAATCCATTCGGAACGCTGTAACGAATGTATTTCCAACACGTCTCAAGACTAGATTCACGACTAAAAAGTTGCCTGTGTGCGCACTCCAGCTCAACTGTCGCTAGACTTCAGAGTCTCCGAGTGAGTCGCGCAACAGTCCCCCGATTAGTCGGGCAACTGTTGTGCGACTCAAAATCGCCTGTGTGCGCCTGGCCTAAGAAGAGGTTAAATCGAAGTCCGCAAGAACTCTGCATTGTGATTGGTTCAAAATGACGTCATCTGAATTTTTGACGGTCGTATGCTCTACATTTCCACCACGAGTCTCTCAACTAGTGATTCCCAACTCGCTTCCCAACTGTTGGGTTTCAAAAATACCAAATCATGTTGTTGGTTGAGTTGAGTGCTGACGATTGACTCAACTGTCAACCATTTCAAAAATAGGGCCCCAGATGTGAGTCTTCTATCAAAGGTCAAGCCCATGTATTTAACCTCATTGCACTGTGGGATTTGAACGTTGTTTAGGGTAACTGGAGGACACGTGTCAAATCTTGTTGTAAAGGTTGTATGGACTGATTTACTCTCATTAACTTTGATCCCCCATTTTTTAGCCAATCGGAGATATCATCGAGTCCAGTCTGCAACATTTGTGAAGCTAAACCAGGGTTTTCATGAGAGGCTATAATAGCAGTAGGCCTATCATCAGCGAAGGTTGCAATTTCGACATTAGGATTTTCAGGGAGGTCCGCGGTGAACAATGTGTAGAGAACGGGGCCCAACACACTTCCTTGGGGAACTCCTGCTTGAATAATGAGAATCTGACTGAGCAATGTTAACTAGCTTCCACGGTCACCTTTAACTCCAGGAGGCCACGGCCTGTTAGAATTGGTCACAAGTAGTGTTGTTTAAGCACTAGACGTCCCATAAGATACCATATGGCATACAGGTGAAACCAGTTCATAAATTAACGTATATTGTTCATTTTAATTTGAATGTATGAACATAAACTTATTATTAAAATATTAAAAATAAAACATATAAAAGTTGAAACCCAAACAATATACTGTATATTTAAAATCTATTTCTGAATTCAAAGTAGAGTAAATATTTTCATATCCCAGTTACCAATCTTGCTTATTCTTAAAAAATACACAAGATTCAAATTTTCTTTATTAGATGGTAAATTTGCACAACCGCCTTTAACTCCAGTTCAAGGTGGCCGTGTTTTAACTCCAGGCCGTGCCCTTCGAAGTGGCAACGTCGCAAGTGGTGTTGCAACAGCTGTTTTGTTTGGAAGCAGCTAATTGTATTTTTGTATTTACGAAAGATTGGTTACTGGAATATGACAATACTTAATCCTCTTAAAATGTACAGATAGATTTTTAATTCATATTGTTTCGGTTTTAAATTCTGTATGTTTCATTTTCAATATTTTTGTAAATTTATGTTCATAAATTTAAATTTAAATCAATAAAGTGCGAATTAATGAGCTGATGTCACCTGTCTGAATGTTATCTTATGGGACGTCTGTCACTAAACAACACCACTTCCGACGTTGCCAATTCTACCAGGCCGCGGCCTGTAGTTAAAGCTGGCCGTGAAAGTTTACGAAAAATATTTCTGCATCAAAGACATAATCTGATAGGATTGGTTAGGTAGCACTCATCTTGCTAAAAGCAACATTTTAGCAACAAACCGGTGGCCGTACCCAGGGGAGGATGGACATCCCTCTAAATATCAGGATGGACCCAGGTCTTGGCCTGGACGTTTTTAGGCTTTCGTTTACCGATATGTGGGTGGGCATTGCCCTCCCCACCCCGCTCCACGAATATGAATCCTGACCCCACCACTGACAATAACTATACTAAAAATTAAGGAATAAACTATACAATTAGACAACATACAAACAATAAATCAAATTGTTTACAAATAAATAGATCATAATACAAAATTATAGGGCAAAACAATACTATTATCCATAGTGGGCCACCAACCATGACTATAATCATTGCAATATTGATTGTGTTGTATTTTTTCTCTATGTTGTATTCTAAAACCTGTGAACTGTGAATAGATAGATTGATTGATTGACTCTAGAATGGAAATTAAGTCTAACCCTATCATGATTTTTTTTATTTATTACAAATATAAACAATAAACACTATTTGTTGTTGTTTGCAAAAGTTTATTCTATTTAGATATATTTTGTTAATTATGAACCAATCGAAGTTTAATTGTTAATTAAATTAAAGGAGTTGATGTATTTACTGGAACCAAAAGTAAGTTAAGTTACTTTAGGCTTATGTTATTGTATGTCACAACTAGAATTACTATATTTTAGGCTAGGCCTACCGGTAAAGTACATTTACTGATTTACTTGAACAGCAAGCCACAAAAATGTTTTTCTAACAACCACGATTAGGCCTACTAGAAAAATACCTTTTTTCTAGTAATCGTGCTAACACTGAAGTTAGTGGGCAGATGTTTGGAATTACAAGTAGGCCTAGGCCTAGGCCTAAGTTAGCCCTATCTTAGCTAGAAAAAATTCTGGTAGGGAATAAATGGAATTGCAAAAAAGTAGTGGTACCTAAGTTAATGAATTAACGGATCGATATATTGAAATATTAAATACCTATCGATATATTTAAAAGAAAATCATAGATAATAATGAATGTAGGCTACTTTCCTTGGGGAGTCTGAGTCAAAATTTTTAATTTTTTTCAATTTTTTTATCTTATAACTTGGCACAGAATTTCTTCTTTATAATGGTATAAGTTAGCCTACTCACTTTTATAATTAGGAACCTAGAAATGTATAAACAAATATATTTTCCATAACATTGCAGTGACGTTTTAAAGGTAAAACTCGTAGACTCTTGGTAGACCCTTGCAGGCTTTTTTTACCGATTTCCGCAACTTTTACCATCTAGTCTTAGTGACTTATTCAAAACACAGACGTAAGGATTTCATCAAATTTTTAGTAGAAGCCTGTAAAAAAATTGAATTAATTTTCTTAGGAAAACAAATATTTTTAAAATCTATAAAAACCCCATAAGATAATTTTTTTATATTTCAAATGAAAAATCTTGTGTCTGTGCTAGTTACTACTAGTTTGGTAGTTAAATATAAAAGTATTCCAAGTTTCACTATCCTACCTGTTCTAACTCCTTAGAAAAGTGACATTTAAAGTTAACATTATTAAAGATAGGACCTCGGACTCCCCTTATCAGGAAAGTAATTCTTGCTTACTAATTTGTTTGAACTTTACCATAAAAAAGTTTATTTTGCCTAAAGCGGTCTAGCCAATAGAATGAAAAGAGCTTTTAGGAAAATATTTATATGAACGGTGAGGATTAGGGATGGGAGCGGCGAACATGACTGGTCAAGAGGTCAAAGACGTTTCTTGTATTTACAGAACAGATTTGTGTGTAGAGTGGAGTGTCGCCGCCCGCACCATCCTACCCTTGACCCTCCCCGCTTTTTGTTGACACCTATATATTTGTATAGCATGTATATTTTTCTTAAATTTATTGCTTTTATTTCTATCTGAAATTCTCGACGTTTCTAAACGATCATTAGCAGAGGCGGATCCAGGGTTTTGTTGAGAAAGGGTTCCTCTTGCATTTTTTACTTTTTTCCATTTCAACAAATTGAATTTTATAAGGGTTCGAATTAGCCAATCTTTTAGCCTAAGGTTGGGTGTCGGTTTACTGTTATTTTGGTAATTTGGTATTATATGGAGGCCACCCTCATAAGCTGCGGCGGTTATTTTAGGTTGGGTTATCATAAGTAGAAAATATTTACTCATCTGGTATCTTTTGATTCATAACAAAACGATGAAAGTCCTACAAATATAATTATGATAACCCAACCTAACATAACCGCCGCAGCGTACTGTAAAATATGTGGCCTCAACCAAAGAACCGTTTAAAAAAATCCAAGATTATAATAATGTCTTGGCGCTCGCGCAAATTTTCAGGATTTGTCGCGATTGCGACATGGAAGTGACCAGTGCCAGACTCACCACTCACTAGGCCACGGCCTAGGGCTGGGGTTTTGTAGGCCTATAAAAACGCCTTTTTTTAAACAACAACTTGTTTTTAAAATGAATCATTAGTCACTCTAGCGAGTAACGATAACAATGTCCTTGTGATGGCAGGAGACGTTGGCTATTTTGCTGTGATCGCACGTGACGTTATAGCGGGAAATTTTCATGAATCACGATTTAGCTGCAGTCGCAGGTGGCGATAATCATGTCCTTGTAATAGCGGGAGGTGTTCGCAATCGTTTTGCCACGATCGCAGACAATTCTTTTCCCCCCGCGACTCCTAGCTGGAGCCACTGATCATTATACAAGACTATCAAAGACGCAGCAATTATCAGCAAGTATCATCTCAATTACTGTATACATGTAAGAGCGACAAAAATTCTATTTTCTGACATAATCAAGAAGTTTTCAACTGCTAAAAATCAAGAAAAATAAAATTTAATTAATTTTTAAACTTTCTGAGAAATTTCATGCATGTTTCAATTTCATAGCTGTATGTTCATAGTAATGTTATAACCAAATATTAAAGAATGTGTTGTATTTTTTCTTTTAAAAACTTTAGGCCTACTGTACTTGCAGGTTTCAGGGTGGAATAGTAATAATTACATTTTAATAACTTAATTTAAAAGTATCATCAAACCTTTCTAGGCCATTTTCTTAAAATAAGTTTGTGTACGTTGTGTTAAGACTGACTGCAAAATACCATTGGCACTTAGAAAAAAATCCACAGTTGTGTGGTGACAGGGCGGCAAATTAAAGACTTGCTCCCCCTAGAAAAATGTGTAGCTGCGGCCCTGATCTTACCTTCACATCCTAGGACGTTAGTTCTAGCCCAGAATTGTTTTACACATTACTTCAGGCTAATCCTAGAGTGTTACAGCATTATATTTATTCATTTATTTAGGCTATCTATTTCAACGGCAAGCAGCAGCCAATTTACAAATCATACAACATGCAAGGACAAGTATAAATAGGATTATAATGCATGGGCCCAAGCAGGCATTTACAAGAACACTTAGGATAGATATAGATTACAGATTAGCCTACAACTCAATTTCACAATAACAACAAAATTTCTCAATTATCACATGGATAAAATCCATTGGTGATTGGAGGGATTTGAACCCAAGGAAGACTGAGCACCGAAGCTCTGCGCTCAACCAATAGAACAGCGTGCTCCCATCACGATGTCCGAAAACACTAGAGCTACCGTACTTCATAATTAAATTCATTGAGTATTCCACTCAAGGATTCTGATACATACTAGGCCTATTTGTCAAAACGATAACTTAAAATTCAGAAGTGTCATTTTGACCTCCAAGTAACTAACGCAGATTTGGATTCCTACCTCAGCTTAGGAATATAAAATGATATTCAGTAGAGAAGTTGTGATCCAAGTCTATTTTGTTATTATAATCATTCTTTTGAAATTCAGTAAGATTTCATATTATACCGACATCAAATCCTGTTTTTAGTTTTGGCTTACTTGCAATGAGGCTGGCGTCGCAACTTGTTAGCCGTTTTGTGAGGTTCTACTCTCAAGATGTCCTTGCACATGTACCTCATCCTAAAGGTCTGCCAGTCATCGGTACAATGCTTGATTTAATCAAAGCTGGAGGTATGTGTTTAAATTTGCCTAAACTTTGCATCAAACCAAGCAAATGTTTCACTAACTTAAATGTTTAAAAATAGAATTTTTGATAAAAGATAAAAAAAAATTCTCCTATTATAAAACTGGTAATTTTTACCAACAAATGGTTACAGGTTGGGGAGGTTAGAAAACTAGAGCAAGAACAGCTGGTCTGACCACTGCCGCAGGAAACCTACAGACGCGAATTTTCATTTGTCTAATTGGATGTAACCAAGATATTTCCTTAAACTTATCAGATCTATTCCCTATTAACAAAAAATTGATTCAGGCCTAATTAGTATGCCTAGGTTACTGACTGCTAACTTACTGGTAAAGAAAACTTTTTTTGTAAAATCTTAAGTAGTATACCAGTAGTATGAAGTAAATACATTGGCCAAGTTTGATCAAATAAACAAGGGCGGTTTTTTTTAATAAGGGCCGGTTTTGCGTATAAATCCGTAGTTCGCTTGCAAGCTGTATAAAATAAAATATGCTCTGAAATATTCTATCTAATTCTGTAATAAATCCTGCTTCATCCCAAATTGGCTACATATGTGGCTACAATGCTAGTTTTAAAACTATCATTTTAATATCAACAAGTATGTAATCAAAAGTCTTTGTTAGTACCTCATGCACACCAAAATATTTTTTTCGGCAAAGATTTAAATACCTCCATCTCTTTTTTCTTCCCTTAAAGTAAAATACATAGGTATTGTAATTTTCTATAGGCTACTAAACAGATTGAACATAACAGATAACTCATCCTTATTTATTAACTTCAGTGAGAACAATTATGCCTACATCAATAAAATTTAAACAAGTGCCAGAACAAGCAATACATTGTTTCCAATTTTAGCGAATTTCCCATTTAGGGTATAGGCCTAAGCCAGTACCGTAGTACTCATGGTAAGACCTGGACCCGAGACCGATTTGCTTTTTCGTTTTGAGGTCCCTAGAGGCCAAAAACACCATCCGTTCAAATTCATATATTTATATATGTGTCTGTTAGCGCAATAACTCAAGCAAAAATCATCCGATTTTGATGAAATGTGGTAAAAACTTGTAAACCTACGTTTATTTGAACGAGTTCACGAACCAGCATCATCGGACTATGGGAACAGGAGTTTATGGGGTAAAAATTAGGTTTTCCCATTTTTTACCCTAAAAACATAAAATTTAGCAACTTATCTCCAAACTATTTTGTAGAGCTTAAAAAAATAAATAATTTAGTATTTTGAAGCGTTATTATGCACCTAATGGCTACGGAGAAAATTCAAAAAAATTGTAAATTTAAAATTTCCATGTTATTCTTATATGGAGAATAAGTAAACAGTTGTAGTTTGCTTGTTTATGGATATATTTGGACCAAACTTGGCAAATCTATTTATTTTATACTAAGCTATTAATATTTGGCTAAAAACCCACTTTATTACCCTCCCTGTAGGCAGCAAACCTAGGTACTCGTTAAACCTAATGTTATTTGAATAGATATAATTGAAAATCAAATCAGACAAATGGAAATTCGCTTAGTCTGCAGGTTTGCTGCGGCGGGGGTGTTTTCTAATATTGTAGATCTAATATTTAAGAATAGAATTGTCATCCCGAGGTCATTTTTTTAAAAATTTTGCAGATTTTTCAAACTGGGTGGAATTTAAATGAATATATGATTTATTCTCCTCAGTAAAAATAATATCTTGATCCATATTTAATCTTTATTTTATTATTAATCTATAATATTAAAACGAAACAGTGTTTTTTTATTTCACGATTCTGAATCAACCACTCGACGGATTTTCATGACTTTTGTGTTGAAAGAAAGATAATTTTGAGAACTAGGGAATGTCGAAGCCATAATTTTAGTTTAGGGTCCCAGTTTTTTAGAAATTAAGTTTTAATTTTTAAAAAGTCTAGCAGCCGACGCTAAGATTCTAAACTAGCTTTTGGCATAAAATAATATGCTTAACATAACAGCTGTAAACATTCAGCTTTCGTGTCACAAATTCAGCATTTGGATAAAAATGTAAAGACATACTTAGGGTTGACTTATTTATACTATGTGTAATGCTAATCATTGATACGTTGAATTCTTCTGTAAGAGGATGACAGATTAATTAAATATACATAGTAAAATACTGGGATGTTCAAATTATTTTTTAAAGCAATCTTTGTCATCTTCGATTTGTTTTAGAGCAATATAATTTGTTTTAACTAACAGCTAGTTAAATATAAATAAACTATGAAACTATGAGGTTATTTTATTTACTCTTATTTTGTCATTGATTATAGGAAATAAGTAAGATTAGTAGAGACAATTAGACCTCAGTTTAAACCACAGTTTTAACCTAAATTAATTAAACCACAGTACAAATCGAGGCTCTGTACACGAGTCTTAATAAAAAAGGATAAATGCAAATTATTTTACTGCTCCACTTTTCAAGGAAAGATTAGAAAAATAACAATGTTTACATGTCTTAATTCTTAATTGTAGCTTTTTGTTTACAATTAATGTTTGTCTGCTTTAACTTTGTTTGGATTAGGCCCGGAAATATTGATGTCATAAAAAGAAGATCAAGAATAATCAGGAATCACGATTTTAAATTACCAACACAACCTCAGCCGGGTTTTATACAAAGATAAACAGATGGATGACATAGATTGAACACAACGTCAACATTGACCTAGGATACTGCAATTAGACAAACCATCCTTTTATGAAATCGTGTTCAGTTGAGGGGCGCCTATATCAGCGCTCCCAAACGTGAAAATATCACTTTTATTTAAACTATGAATATATTGTAGGTTAAATTAACTAATATGGGAAATTACGATGTTCATTTATTCAATGAGGGTGGGTAATTATCAAGGATTGAACTGATAACGGTATGGATAATAAACATTGACAATTACGTCATTAGCTTTACTAGCGTGTTTACTTTTTATATTCCTGCTACATGTGACCAGTTCTTTTTTTTTCAAATGAATTTTATTTGAACCAAACAGCTGTTCAAAACAAACTGTTATTGTTTTTACTTTTATTTGTTTACACTTATTTATTTAGCAATTAATGCAGTGAAATTGATTTAAAGGATAGGTGTAACGATTAGTTTTGATGTTAGGACACCAAAGTTAAATTATGTGTACTGTGAATTTTATTGGATATTATCGTTTTATTTTAGGTCGTTTCTATTCAGACCTACTGGAAATTGTGTATAGTAGTTGTATTTTGTTGATAATAATTATGGAAGAGGCATTATGTGTGTGCCTATGCTATGGAAGGTGGTATCGTTGATTAGGTCTATACACTTCTCAATTGACTATTACTCTCTCTACCGGGGAGCGAGCTGGCGTAGTGGTTAGAGCGCGGGACTTCAGTCCCTGAGGTCCCGGGTTCGATCCCCGCCAAGTCACCAATGGATTTTATCTAAGTGATAATGCCGTAACCCCTAGGTCTAGCCTGAAGTAATGTGAAAAACAATCCCAGTCTCGTGCCTAGCGTCCTTAGGACAAAAAAAAAAAAAAAAAAAAATTACTCTCTCTACCGTAGGCTACTTTTAATCAGTGTGCGTCCGTGCGAATCGGCTGCAAATCTCACTTCAACGCTTTTCACATCGTAAAAATTGCAGAATTGCTGTTTTATTGTAACATTATCGGATTTAAAATGCATATCGTATAGGCCTATGATGGAATAAAAACATATTTGGTCACACAACATTAGTTTACAAGATGATTTTTCACATTAAAACTGCAAGAAACTTTGCCTTTATTTGTGTAAACTAGCTGATCTGAATTGTACACGGTTTTAACTGACTACTGAATTCCCGTACGTAGGACGGGCTAACACCTCGTACTATTTATTTCAATTTTATTTTTTTGAACCCTTAAAAAAATTCTTACAATCTTATCTAAGTCGGACATCTCATTATACACTATCACAACACTCTTCTTTTCTTTACGTAGCCTAACCATACCATATTTAAACCAGATGATCTTGTATCCTAGATACTTTCCTTTTTATTGGCTTCTTTTAATAGGTTTCTATAATAAACAAACAGTAAGGTTTTCACTTACAATGATCTGGCCGCCAGGTAGTCCTGTCACCTGGTTGTTTGTCGGGCCACCTTCCGCCTTGACTTACTTGGACTTAATTTCTGTTTTCCCATGGGGGACGTAGGGCCGCCACAAACGCCTTCCACCATACACGCTTCTGTGCCATCAGCTTTATTTCACCCCAGCTCTTGCCCTCTGTCCTTGATTTCTTTGTCGACCGACCTCTTCCAGGCTGTCTTCGGCCTTCCTCTTTTCCTATTCCCCAGAGATCTCCACTAAAAAACTTGGCAACTAATGGTGTAGTTTGACCTTCTTAGCGTATGGCCAATCCAGGCAAACTTTATTTTCTTGATAGTCTCATTTACTGGGCTTTGGTTTGTCTTTCTCAGTAATTCTTCGTTGGTAATCCTTTGAGGCCAATGAATGTTAAGAGAAAGTCAAAGACGAGTTGCTTTGGAATGCAGTGGGCCTGTGGAAGGGCAGTGACGGCCATTATCAACACCTCAAGCACAGAGGTGTGGGAAGGGGGAATGTTTGTTTGATGATTGATATACCTGACAAGTTTTAAGCCATTTGTTACTGTCGTAGTAATGTAAAATGTGACAATGTTTGATTAAAACACAAGTACCAGGGGACCGAGCTTGCTCGAGGTGTTTGATTTGTTCAAGAGGTAAAAAATAGAGCTTATAAGCCTACAAATATTTTCAGCCTTACTACGATTAATTAAGTTGTAAAGTCAATTAGTTTTCGGGTGACATCCACTGGTTCTTAATTTACCTTACAAACTTTTTCATGTGGACAAGCAATCTATAAAATGTCTACAATAAGCTTCAATCAATATCAAAACTCATGACAATGTCATCTGATATCTGTTGAGGGTCTATCCATATCAAGTGATCCAGAAATAAAATAATTGGTTGCTTGACCATTTTTTAAATAAA